AAAACTCTATAATGATGCTGAATATAGCCTGGTGATACCTATTCATAATTTAAGTCATGGCCAACAGTGACTTTTTGGGTAGTATTTTCAATATTTCTGTTATGAGATTACAGATTATCATTTACATCCCACGCTACTGACATTTTACTGTCTGGCAGTCACACACACTTTCCATACTGTTTCATTTCATATGATACAAAGTTGCCTACTTAATTCATGGTTCTGATGATGTCGCTGGTAATTTAACACTCCGGCCTCTTTCCCATGAACTCCCTCATGGCTGTAAACCCAGAGCTGACTAAACTGGTTGATAACAAGCTTTGTAGTACAGGTTATCCAGATGGCCTAGATACATGATGTTTTTTTTTTATAGCTAGCAAATAAAAATGGAACATCATTTAATTAAGTCATACTATCTCCTACTCGGGAGTAAGTGCTCAAACAGAAATACAATTCAACATGTGGCTGTAAAACAACAACAGACTTTATGACCCAGGTTTAACTTTAAGCTTTTTAAGACCCTTCACCATCAGACAGGTGACTCTGTGCCAGTGTTAACTTACTCTGCAAACAGGCAACTATCCAGACTGAACTAGTGCGCCAGTAAAAGCAGATGTGTAACTTATTTATATTCTCATTCTCGTCTCACAAAACTTGGTCAATCTTCAATTTTCTTTTTATTGCTTTCATTTGCTCTAGATTTTATTTGGACAAATAAAATTCCCTCCCTCCCTCTCCAACCTAACCAGGACAGAGATCACACGTCGGCACTCTGAGCAGTTTCTTTACCACTTAATGCAACTCTTACAATGTGCAGGTTTAAAAAACGTAAAACCAGTTGCCTGCAGGCAGAACAAATATTAAAACAGCTTTAATATCCTTCTAGGTACAGGGTGCACCTCTGCATGTTTGCATCTGCAGATCTAGTCTGCTGTTACTAGTTTCCTGCCGATACAGTCTGTAGGTTAGACTGGAGGTGCAGGATGATTGGCTGGGACCAGATTGGGGAGCTTTCCATCATGGACAATGTGTGTCAGTTCCTTATGGGGCATTACAGTTATTTTTGATGTGGCAATGCTACCACCAGAGGGTGACTCTATCATTTTCCCTCCTGATATGCAACCAGTGTAGAGAAGCTAAAACAGGAGTCATATGACCCTTTGGCATGTGTTTAACCTTAGTGGATGGCTGGGGATTTGTGCACAAACTGGAGGTGTACCCCAGGTTGTCAGTAGAAAAGAAATGAGAGGGGAAGTACGTTTGTCAGGATGATATTACAGTTGGTATAGGTCTGTCTGTAAATGAACTGAAATAGACTCTTGCTCAAGTTTAAAATGTAACAACGGATACCTTTGTTTTAAGTAATCCAGCCATGAAATGATCAACAAATCTTGATGTGGCCTAGTTAGCCTATAAGTTAATACAGTATTGCTGCAAGCCAAGTACAGTGCCTGCATGGGTCAAAGTACACAATCACTGTATTTGGTGTACACTATTTCCTGCCCAAGCAGTTCAGTGATGCTAACTAAAATTACATTTATATAATAGTTCACAAAGCCAGCCCGGTGTGTGTTCATATATAAAGTAGAATTGTGTCTATTACCGACTGGAGGTAGTCCAGCAGCTGTGTGAGCTGAAACACTCTCTGTGTACGGGTGGTCTCTCCGTGGTGGCTGGCCAAGCGGTCCAGCTCCTTGATGTAGGAGGTCCGCAGTTCATCAAAACAACGCTGGTTCTTCAGGCCCTCCACTGGCACTGTGACCACAAAGCCAGAACACAACATTAACTCTCACAGACTTTATCCATCCCATCAATTCTCTAAAGTATGGCCGAACTCTATTACAGTCATATTTCACTTGCTGAGTGGACATTCGACTTATTATTTCGGATGCGTTCCCGGTGGACTCACTGATGCTGAAGAGGACCAGGGCCTTCATGCAGAGGAACTCCTCCTGAGTGACCTTCAGCATGCAGAACCTTTGGGAGAGCAGCTTCATTCTCACACAGTGTTCATACATACTGGACACTTGCATCCGTTGGCTGTGGGGGGAAGGGAAAAAAAAAAACAGTATGAGGGGAGAAGAAGGAGCACAAGGTGTGACATAAGGAGGAATGAGAAGGCAAGAGAGGGTCAGACAGAGAGAAATACAGAAGGAGGGAGACAATTAATGGAGGCAGAAGTAAAAAAGAAGAAAAAGCAGCAGAGGTGAGAAGAAATGAGTGAGGTGGATAATGGAAAAAGGGAATGACAGAGGCAGAGAAAAATGAGGGTCACCAACAAGGGCAGGCGTATCCATTACCATGCAGGTCAGAGGCAGCCCAATAGAGTGACAGAGGTCTAATGCAGACGGAATGAATGTTTTGCTAATGTCACGCAAAACACCAGCCAAGTAAAAGCTGCTCTGAGGGCCTGTGGTTGGCTCTCGCATTCAGAGCAACACCCTCCTTCAACACTGAAAACGATCTACTGATAAGTGGTGGTGGAATTGTAATTTATGTATATCAAATGGGGCGATTTGTCTCACAAACTCTGCTTTAAGTTTTTTAAAGTACAAAGAAAAGACAATAGACAGGAGTCAGAGTGTCAGAAACATTTTCGATAGAGGCTGAAGGTTGGCTGGGTGCGAATAAAACTTGTCAAAGTGGAAAAAAAGAACTCAACGCTGCGGCAGTTCTCTGGGACCGACGAATGTTTTGCACAAGATGAAACGGAATAAATCATCTGAGGTGATCTCTCTGCGGCCACGTATATCAGACGCAAAGGAGACGGAAAGAACAGAACAGACTTGTTTACCGTCTCGCCTGGAAACAGACGGCGTTTGTCGTGTCATTTTTAAAGCTTCCTCTGAAGCTCCTATTCCACCGTGTCTCTCTTCCCAATCACGGTGACAGGTGAAACCTCAAGATAAGATCAACAAACCAAGTGTCACGATGATTACTACGGATGTTCAGGCCCAAACAAACTTTCTTTGTTCGAGATAAAGACTACACCAGGCGTGACAAACTTCTTTTAACTTTAATTCAAACACAGTATTGCAACTCCAGTCTGCAGTGTCAAGTGAGTACAAGTGAGTACTTTTTTTGTGTGACCTACTCATTGAAGACCAGATCTGGAGCAAAGTAGAGCAAGGAGCTGTTAGTGAGTGTGTAGGACCTCCAGCCCAAGGCGAACACCATCACCCCCATCCATGACAACTGGATCACTGTCATCTGATCATCCACGTGCAGGTCACGGAAACCTGTTCAATAGGCAAAAATGATGAAACATGATAACATACCACTGCATAGGTCAGGTGAATAAATATAAAGGCTAATAACAACAGGGATATTACAGTGTGGGTACATTGTTGGTCTTTTTCAGCCTGCCATTCTCTGTTTAAGTATGACCATATCCCCCTCTAGTGGTTCATATATGAAAAAGCTGTTTTTGTTGGCTGCTCAAACAGGAAGGTTTACCTGGCATACAATTCAAGATGAGGCCTTGCCCAATTGTAATAGATATTAGATCAGACTTGTTCTCATAGCTCTGGAGCTCATTTAAATTGCTGTGAAGTTGGAGTTACATAAGTTACTGATTTGCCTCGAGTGTTATCCGCTCTCTTGCTCAACATGACAAGTGTGACCTTGCAGTATTTCGCTTGGCATGAAACAATACAGATGGTTTGGAGTTAAGCTGAATCTGAAACAACTGAAGTTAGCGCACACAGCCTTGGTAAAAACACCTACATGTAAGTATAGATTAGTTCGCAGGGTGTTACCTTGGCCCAGACTGACTTACCTGGAATGGCCTTGGCCCAACGCACCACGGTTACCAGTTGTCTTTCCCCAAGCTCATTGAGGCTGGTGAGCAAGGACGCGGGGCTGTCTGGCTGCGCGTGGTCGTGCCCGGCATTGACCACAGCTGGCTCAATGGCCTGCAAGATGCTGAGCAGGGAGAGGCAGGAGCGCAGGGGCGTGGGGACGCCGAGAGCCATGGCATGGGATTCTCCTAAAAATATACAGAAAGACCGCAAGAATAACATAAAAAGAAAATAATATTACATATTATAGCAAACTATGCTTATGTTATGTGACACTAATCTTCACTTTGAGCCCTGGCAGCTGCACTTCCAGGCTCCAAGATTACATCTCTCCTCCCAGGCCTTTCTCCTTGTTCAACGGGCCCCCAGGGACCCAGAGGTTGCTCCTCCTCTCCGTTCCTTGACTGTCCAGCTCCCTTCAGCCTGCGACCTAGAACCCACCATGGAGAAAACAGATGAGTGGAAGACAAGACGGTGAAAAGGAGATAGGAAGTTTCCATTTCAGCTTGTTTTGTCTGTTCTATTACACAATAGATAGCTGGAAATATCAAGAAAACTTGGATGGAATACAATAAATGGGGCTAATATTTAAATAACTGTGAGCCAGTGGAGCTGGTCCTTATCATAATTATGTGGCAACGCTCTCCATCATTGGCCACTGGGCAGTAATTCTTATTTAGCCTTTTGCTGAAATGCATTAGTTACACTGTATTTAAGCTGGAACTTTTGATTAGGGAGTTCCGATCCAATGCATGTAAGGTATCTAACCACCCCGGCCCAATTTTCCAAACACCCACCACACATACTTTCCTTCCTCAGCCTCTCATCCTGTTCTTATCTTTAGTTCCTGACCTTTAAGGCTCATTCCCGACATGAAGCATCTCTTCAGGCGGCACGAGGCGCAGTTTTTCCTCCTCAGCTTGTCGATGGTGCAGTCGTTACGGCTGGCACACAGGTGGTTCTGCTTACCTGTTGGTACACAAAAATAGTCCCTGGGGGGTGAGGGAGCAGGCTCAACAATGCCTCAGGCTTCCAACTCATGGCAAAAATATGTGGGTGTTTTCTGATAACAACAAACTCGCCCTCATAATGTCAGGTCACTGTGCCCTGCACTGCCTGAACAAGCGAGTGGGTGTAAGAAATCAAATCAGTGGACGAGTAATTGTGTGTGCACTGGCCTGTGTTTGTGTGTTTATACATACCTGCAGCAGCCCTTTTGAAGAATACTTTGCAGCTGCCGCAGGTTACGGCTCCGTAGTGGCAACCCGAGGCATCGTCGCCGCACACCTGACACACTCTCCTGTCAGACAGATACACACCTGGAAACAAATCCTCATGCCTGGACACACACAGACACAAACACACACATGAAAGTGATGTTTTTAAAGGATTTAAAAGCAGGCACATTATTGAAAATCATCTTAAACAGCTACAATATGCCTGTAAAAATAGGGGCCAACAGAGGGTGACTGTGTTTGTCCTCAGAGGCTGCCTGCTCTGACATTTAGGGCGCTAATGAACTAAATTTAATCCAATAACAAAACGAGATTTCCCTTTTAAATGACTGATTATGTAACAACTACTGAAGTCATCCAAAAGACAAGCACATGTGTGATTAAAGAACTGCAGGGCGAGCCTTTCACTAAGGCATCACAAAGTGGAAACAAGACATTGTCTTCCACGCCAAGCACAGAATCAGCAACAGGTGCTGTATCTCCTGTTTATAGTGACACTGATACATTAAATGGTTATTGTGCACACAGCTAGCCACAGCACAGATCAGGATCGTCCCTGTAAAGTTGGGAAAAGGCTGAACTTTGATTCTGTCTGGCTGTGTGCTGGAACATAACTTGGCCAAGGCCAAGAGAAGCACATGGGGCTATTAGAGCACAAATAATTTATACACAGCTGCCCCTGCAGCCGAACTTGGCGGTGGATCTACAGTATATCAACATGAGGCATCGCAAATAATAATGCAGAATAATCATGTTTGCTTATTTGATTTATTTGTGCTGATATATCAAGCAATAAAAAGAAGAGGACAGTGCAGCTTTCAAGTGATAAATGGATTTACTAAAACATGAAAATGATAACACTCTTTTCAAAGGACCAATTCCAACAACACAAGACTCATTAAGTCCAGTTGCAAAGCTTGGCAGACTAGACAGCATGGTCACTACTTCACGCTGCAGTGGTCCTTTTGTCTCAGATAAAAGGGAGATGAGCGGTAGGAACGAATGCACCCTTGACAGGATTGCCATCTTGACATGATGCCAATGAAAACCAAGTCAGAGCAAATCATTAAAATGTTAAAAAAAAAAATTTACCTGAACGTGCGATCCGTGCATTCCACCCAGACTGAAGATTCGGTCTTGATAGCGGACAGAGTGGCGGCCTGCCCTTGAGGAACTGCGCTTGGGTAACTTTCCACTTGGCCATACCCCTGTGCCATCGCTGCTCGCATGCCACCTTTCCCACCCTGCTCCCCGCTGCTGTACCACGCACAGTGGCATTCCTGCCTGGATCCATGAGAGGCTTGCCCACAATTACAGTATTTACACAACAAATTATGCCCGCCAGATCCGCCTCTTTCTGGCTCGGATCGGCTGCTGTACGCGCACCACACACCCGACGTATCCCTGTATAGGTTTGGATTGGCAGAGTACGCAGAGTATGGTTTTAAAGGTGAGAGCTCGTCCACCTGAGAGGGCGCGGGCAGCTCTTCCACGGGGCTCACGAACAAGTTTGATTGCTTGCAGACATATCTGGATATCACCGGGCCGCGCGTCACGCTTTGCGCGCTGTCCATTTCACCTGATTTGAGCAGATCCATGCAGCTCACCTGCTGGATGTCATGGCACACTTCTCCAAAGTCGTCTTCTCTCGGATTAGCGTCATTAAGTAGAAGACGGATGCCCCCTGAGCTCACCATATGAGCCCCACTCAACTCCTGCGCTCCTCGGGAACTACTCTCCACAGTGGGGTCGAAGTCTGCAAAGGCGCCGCTGCCGCCGGAGCACTGGTTCATGTTGTTGAGCGGAGAAGACACCGAATCCAAACCCAAGGACACTGACACTGCCTTACTGAGCTCAGCAGTTGTCGGGCACGCACAGGTGTCCGCAGAATCCAAGCGATCCCGCTCGTGCGCTGTTAAACACTTTGACGTTTGTTCTAAATCAGAGAAGCTCGAGCGAAAGGCCATCTTCAGCTCGCGTCGTAGCAGATTAAGCAGTGCACTGGTTACACGAGGAACAAATAAAACAACACTCCAGGCGAGAAAACGCCTACCCTATGAGACTCCGGTCATATGTCTCAGCGGATATGAAATTCAGAGCAGTCGTCGACGTAACTTGTTGGAGGGAAGGGACGTCCCGTCGACCTGTTGCGGATGAAGCGCTGACGAACTTTTTTTTTTTCCAAAGTAACCGTACTCGGTGTCGGTGGCACTCACGTTTAACTCCCTCAATGAGTAACTGTTAAACTTTGTACTTTGTACTTTGGCATGTTGTAAAGAGGTCTCGCGAGAATGGCCGGGATTAAATAGTAAATAAGGTTACAGTGCCCTCCAAAAGTATTGGAACAGTGAGGCCAATTCCTTTATTTTTGTTGTAGACTGAAAATATTTGGGTTTGACATCAAAAGATGAATATGGGACAAGAGATCAACATTTCAGCTTTCATTTCCAGGTATTTACATCTGGATCTGATACACAACTTAGAAGATAGCAACTTTTGTTTGAACCCACCCATTTTTCATGAGAGCAAAAGTATTGGAACATGTGACTGACAGGTGTGTTTTGTTGCCCAGGTGTCTCCCAATTACATTGATTATTCAAACAATAAATAGCACTGAATGTCTGAGCTCAGTTTCAGATTGGGTACGATAGGTTTTGCCTGTGCAGACTGCATTTAGAGGTGGAACCAACATGAAAACTGAGAGCTGTCTATGGGTGAAAAAGAAGCAATTGTGAATCTGAGAGAAGATGGACAATCAATCAGAGCCATTGCACAAACATTGGCCATAGCCAGTACAACCATTTGGAATGTCCTGAAGAAGAAAAAAACCACTGGTGTACTAAGCAACAGACATCGAACAGGTAGACCAAGGAAAACATCAGCAGTTGATGACAGAAACATTGTGAGAGCTGTAAAGAAAGACCCTAAAACAGCTGTTAGTGACATCAGCAACAACCTCCAGAGGGCAGGAGTGAAGGTATCACAATCTACTGTTCGCAGAAGACTTCATGAACAAAAGTACAGAGGCTACACCAGAAGATGCAAACCACTCATTAGCAAGAAGAATAGGAAGGCCAGGCTGGAATTTGCCAAAAGGTACAGAGATGAGCCTCAGAAATTCTGGGAAAAAGTTTTATGGACTGATGAGACAAAGATTAACTTTTTCCAAAGTGATGGAAAGGTGAAAGTTTGGAGAAAGAAAGGATCTGCTCATGATCCCAAACATACAAGCTCATCTGTGAAACACGGTGGAGGTAATGTCATGGCTTGGGCTTGCATGGCTTCTTCTGGGACGGACTCTATCATCTTCATTGATGATGTAACACATGATGGCAGCAGCAAAATGAACTCAGAAGTCTACAGAAACATTTTGTCTGCTAATTTAAAGAAAGATGCAACCAAACTGATTGGGAGATCCTTCATCATGCAGCAAGATAACAACCCAAAACACACTGCCAAAACAACAAAGGAGTTCATCAGGGGCAAGAAGTGGAAGGTTTTAGACTGGCCAAGTCAGTCTCCAGACTTAAACCCAATAGAGCATGCATTTTACCTGCTGAAGAGGAGACTGAAGGGAGTAACCCCCCAAAACAAACAACAGCTGAAAGAGACTGCGGTGAAAGCCTGGAAAAGCATCACAAAAGAAGAATGCAAAAGTTCTGTGATGTTAATGGGTCACAGGCTTGATGCAGTTATTGAAAGCAAAGGATTTGCAACTAAATATTAAGTCTCATTCACTTTAATCTATTTTAAGTTTATATGTTCCAATACTTTTGCTCACCTAAAAATTTTGTGTTCCATTACAAATAATGCTATCTTCTAAGTTGTGTATCAGATCCAGATGTAAATACCTGGAAATAAAAGCTGAAATGTTGATCTCTTGTCTCATATTCATCTTTTGATGTCAAACCCAAATGTTTTCAGTCTACAACAAAAGTAAACGAATTGGACTCACTGTTCCAATACTTTTGGAGGGCACTGTATATGGCCACAGTACGGGATGACAGCCAGGCTCCTCACACACACACACACTCAGTGGTAGCTGCTGTGTCCGTTCAGTATAGGATTATTTTTTGGGGTCTTGGACAATAAGTTATTTAAATATGCTCCACATCAGCAACAATGGCTGCTAAAAAAGGTGTCATGTTGTAGCCTGATTTTAATAAGATTATGTCTCTCCAGCTGCAGCTAGAGAAACATAATTTCAACAAAAAATCTTTTATTCCCTTCTGTTATCTAGTAACAGTGATATTGCAGAGGTGCAGTGATTGGAGTTGAAGTTAAGGATTTAGGGAGTGTATGGAGCAGTGGCGCACCCAAGGAGTGGCCGGGTAGGGGGTGCACAGCCACCTTGAAACAATTTCTGTCTTTCAGAGGCTGTGGCACACTAATTTTTTAAGATAGGTAGTGGTTCACTAGCAAGGACCACGCCACAACAATATGTCTTTCAAATGTTTAATTGTAATTCATGAGGTGTTGAGGGCTGGTGAATGGATGTAAGTGGGGGTGAAGGTGGAAGAGGGAATGTCTTCTGTTAGGTTGGTCTGGGAGGATGTCAGGCGAGCCGGATACATTTCAGAAGTGGGGGGGCCAAAAAGTGCTGTGCCTCTGGGGCTTGTCACCGTGTGGGCGTGGCTACCTGTGTAATGTCCAGTTAATAATAGGGACTAGTTAAAGGTGCGTGGTGATCAGGGATTGAAGTACAGCCTGAGTTGAGTGTGAGCTTGCGCAACAGCGGCAACAGTGACAACAGTGTGTTTTAGTGAAAGCAGCAGTATCTTGCAGCAAGTTACACGCTCGTCCTCTCTCATTAAAAAGATGGTGAAGAAAGACAAAGAGTCAGATAATGTATTTAATAACGAACTTTATCTTGGGAGGAAAAAAGCAAACAGTTTATTTCTTAACAGTGTTTGCATGAAACCTGAACACTTTGAACCCTTTATGGATAGGGCTGTACCCAAATATTTGGATATTCGAATATTCGTTTCTATGGGTAGGTATTCGTTATGAAAATTTGGTATTCGATACTCTTTTTTTTTTTTTTTTACATATTTTTATATAGCTGTTTTTTCGTTATCTTTTGAATTTAATATGAATTATGGAACTGTTTTTGTCAACGCTTGTTTCCCCCGTTTTGTACAATTAATTATTGTTTAAAGTTTCAACAAGTTTCTTTTGGAGTGTGTGACACAAGTGTGTTTTGAAAACGACTGCGGACTGTCACCTGCTCAACGCATCATTACCTTCGGATGCCGTGACAGTAATAGCCTAATGATCGTAATAATAATAATGATAATAATGTCAAAATATCATTCACAAACCGATTTAACAGACGATCACTGCTGCCCGACCCGCAGGTCCATTTGCGGGTCCGTGGGTTACGGGTCGACCTGCGCATCACTACTCAGCTCAGTCTATAAAGGCTGTACATACAACAGTAAGGCTATAGACATTATATTCTATTGAGGCCGGCAGAACCAGCAGTGCATCAGCTCTACAGTGCACGGCACTGCTGATTAACCATTTTATTTCAGCACAGAGTGTCTGCCAGCAACCAGTTACTTGCAGAGGCTTCCTACAACTTGTTTCAACGGTTCCGATTTAATCAGAAGACAAATTAAACAGGATGACTAGCCAATGTGAAAATCAAAAGAAAGCATAGAATAATGTACTGAAGGAGACTGTTGTGCCATCACATTTTTTGTGGTTTGAGAGCAAAGATCCGGTCGCAGCTGTGCAAAACTCCGCAATACAATTCTCAAACTTGATTGAAAATCAATTTCGGAGTGGGGCTGGTTCGGAACGGCGGTGTTTCGGAATGGAGGGCTGTCCCCTGTTGGAACATTGTGCGCACACAGCCCTTCACCACCTGGATCCTAAAATAAACACCTGTTTTATTACATAATCATGCTTCCGTGTTGCGCCATTCATAAAGATCCTATTTCCATCATTCAAATAACAAGAATTGTGTAATTAAAATCCCGTCATAATTAAAATCCTGTCATAATTTAAATCCCGTCCAAGACATAACGTGCACGGGCTTGGGCCAGGTCGGGCTGGATTTTTTGGGCCCGGCTAATAGAGCGGCTAAGCTCTCGTTTCCCCTGAGCCGCCTCAAGAAGTGCCTGCTCTCGCCCTGCAGCTACGCGGAGTCCCTCCTGATCAAAACGCCGCTCCACTTCTGTGCGCAGCAGGTCCAGGGCCTCTGTAGCCTATGTAGTCAGGCAGGCTGCATATCACATCAAAAGCATAGATCTATGCATTCATGATATGAAAGAAATAAATGTAAGTCAGACAAATTGAGTTTAAATTCAGATTCTTTATTTTTTGTTTTATGTTTGTGTACTACGGAGCCGCGGAGGGGCATTGAGAAAAAAATAAAACACACCAGCGCTAGAAATGTTTGATTGCGAACCAGATAGGCCTACAATTTGGCTCGCTTTTTGATTTATTTCTATTTTTTATAAGTGAGGAGTTCTTACAATACGGTGCCAGGGTTAGTGGGGATTACTGCTAGGTGCTGTGGGATAGAGCCAGACAGCTGAGAGTCTACCCGGAGCCTGCCGAGGATGCTCGAGGCTTTACCGGGCTGGTGAGGCAGTAACAGGTGCACACAATTGAGTGCCTGCTGGAGGCTGTATCTTTCTCTCTATGGCCCCTCCCTGTATTTTACCTACATATGAGTGGAAGTGAAGAGTGAAAGTCTTTTTTACCGTAAGTAATGTAATATAGGGACCTTTGATTTGGCTTAAAAATAATGTGGCAAGAGGGTAAAAGTGGGGGGGCCAATGGCCCCCTGGCCCCCCCCGCTTCCGGCACTGTTGGAGGATGTACTGGAGATCGGGCAGAGGGAGGCTCAGTGTGGGGGTTCCGGTTCCTGCAGATGGTACCTAGAATGAGACTTGGGAGAGGTATGCACCAGACTGAATAGGAAAAGATGAGGGAAGAGAGGATGAGGGAATGTTGATAGGTATAAGGTAGGGAGGATGATGGATGAAGGGATGGGAAGGGGAGGGTGGGTTGAAAAATCTGAGACAAACAGAGCAGGATGGGTTGACCGGGTATATGTAGGCTTGGCAGATAATTCAAGGTGTGGTTGAGGCGTGGCCCTGCTTCCGAACCTAAATTAACAAATTAACTTAATTTAATGAAACTAGACAACCTAAGATTTCCATCAGTACCAACCACCTTGGTATGGCTTGTCACGAAGGGGGCTAAATAATGCTCCAAATTTTGTAGAAATTTGGCGAGGGAAAAACTAGCATGGCCATTTTCAAAGGGGTCCCTTGTACTCTTACATCAAGATACCCAAATTAAAATGGATTCAATGGTTACCCATGAGTCTCATCTCAACATGAAAAGGCTTGTTCCAAGTAGACGTTTTGATCCTGACAACCAATCCTGCAGATTAAAGCTGTATATTTGTCTTTCTAAGAAAAAGGACAACCAGCCTATTTGAAGAACAATGAATTTATTATTAACATAATTATACAGATACATGACACATTAAAACAAGATTGCTGTGGAACTCAAAATGTTAAGTAACTGCTATTAGCCTGTGCACATCACATAGTTGGTAATAATTGGCTAAATAAGAAACCTAAGTATATCAGTATGAGATACCGTAAAGATCCAGTGTGTTGGATTTAATGGCATCCAGCCACTTCTCCTGTGTGCCAAGCATATAGGAGAATTATGGTGGCCAACGCCAAAAATGTGAATTGCCCTGTCTGGAGTGTATTTGATTTGTCCATTCTGGGCTACTGTAGAACATCATATCAGACTCTATGGAGAAGGACCCCTTTTGTATTTAGATATAACGGCTTATTCTAAGGTGACAAAACACAACAGCTCTTATTTTCTGGGGATTGTAAAGTAATGAAAACACAATTATAAACATTTTATATCGTTCCTGCAAATAGATTTCCCTAAATCCTACGCACAGGACCTTTAACTCTCCATATTCACATCGTTTTCAACTGTCTTATGTACTTTAACAGCATAATTGAATTCCTGATAGTCAGTGTCAGCTTTTATTTTGGTGTCAGTAGCCCCTTCCTGCCACCCGTATGAAAAAATGCTGGGGGTGCAGCTAGTATGGAGTACATCAGTGTCTATGTAACTTGTTATTTTCTGTTTTAATTATACTGGATAGACAAACATCTGTTTGAGCTTGATAATGGGTAATAATTATTTTTAATGATAGCTTTGGACAGTTTGCCTCATTAGACAGTGAAGGTGATGTGTTCTCATACATATGGATGCACAAACAACGCACTGATGACGTTTCTGTGTATTTTTATTTCTGTGATAAAGAATAGAGAATTTAACATTTAGATGTAAGTGCCATTAATCAATTTCAGTAAAGTTTTCATTAGTTGGCATATTGAAATTGAAGCTGTATGTAATTAGATTGACAAGGACAACAGCAAACCTGTTCATGAATGACAGCATGGATTATGCTTGTGTTTGCAGCACTGACGTGGATTGCAAATGTATTTTCAACAGTTTTTACTGATGACTTGTTTCCAGATGAAATGGCATTAAAATCATGGACATTAAAGGTGATAACAGCATCATTTGCCAACATATTCAACCTGTGAGGTTAATTATACCTATGTAATAATCTGCATCTACACTTCTAAAAATCTCTCAACATGGCCGATTTCATCATCTATCCATATCTTGCTTCGGTGTGAGTGGGCCTATAGCAGCCCCTCTCACATGGACTCAAATTCGTCAATGCGTTGTTTGGTGTTGCCCTGACGAATCTGACGTAAGGTCTTGTATTTGTCACGGCCCGCCTTCACATTCTCAGCATGGATCAGGTCATTTAGGGTCTTTTTGTTCTCGTCTACAGCTCCAGCCAGCTCAGTGCTCAGGAACTGAAAGAGAACACAAACACACAGTGAATGAGATCCTCTTTCCCGAGAGTCTTTAGGAGCCTATTCAGAAGCCTTGCCCCTCTCCTGCCACCCCTGTACTCCCCACAATCCCCATCTGAAAACAATCTATTGTCCACAGTTATTAAGTCCAGTTTTGTGTTGAGTCCTCTATGCAACATCTTGTTTTGGCTGTGAGATAGAGACCAATTTTTATTTCATTTGTTATGGGGCTCGGTCTGGATGAGATTTGTGACTTGAATGAAACGAAAAGAATGATAACGTACCTGCAACAATGTTTGCACTAAGTTCTAGGTGACACACAATTTTTGGTGGCAATTAAGCTGCCATCTTTACAGCAGAGTCAAAACCTCTATATGACGGGGTCAACAAGCAGCACAGTGATGGTAAGAAAACATATTAAAAAGCTCACAACAGCAACAAAAATGTGATTCCCAAACCACAAACTGAGGTCTGAGTGAGACGGAGGCAGCTGCCAGAGGCAAAGAGGATTCACCCACTCAGTCTCAGAGATGTTATCTTCTGCCTTCTGCTTATAAGTGGTGAATTTACAGTTCCCAGCAAGTAAATACGATATAGCCTCTGGCTTTTGTTTGATTTTTTTTTTTTAGTTTCGGCAAAAATGCTGTTGCACATGTCCGATCCATCATTAGCCCAGTCAACATTCATTAGCTTGAAGGGCTGATTTGGCTTGTTTACATGAATGTCACTGTCACCCTGAATGTCCCGCTAAACCCTGTTCAAACTCTCAAACTCTAAATGGAAAACAGAAATGAATACTTGAATATCTGTATTAAGTACAGCCCTAAAAGATTAAAAATATTTCACTGTGATCCAGAAAAATAAACCTTATAGTGGCACAAAAAAAGTCAGGGGATCATCAAAGTCAGCAGTATTCATCCTCTGTGGACCATGAATGTCTGTATAAAATTTTGTGGCAATCCATCCAGGGGTCATTGAAATATTTCAGTCCAACCAAGAGACCATTGACATAGAGCCATGCCTCTAGTAAAGTCTAAGTAAAGTGGCTAAAAATGTATGTGATGTGAAATACTTCATATTTTGAAAGACACATTGGGTGCTTCAACATAGTCTTGTTTAGTTGCCGCTATCATCTAGAGGCTCTAAGAGTAACTGCAGACTGATGCTATGATGCATTGGCCTTTGCATTCAGCTGGAGTGGCTCCTAATTTATAGACCGCATTATTTACTGAACCTTGAACCACTGAATTGGAAAATCGAAGGCCTTTTCCGATTCATTTGTCTGCACTCTTAGAGTTGCAGGACAGCCCAGGGATTGCTAATCTCTAGCCGAACATGACCTCTGACCTGCCGGTGAGTAAGAGAACAGCAAAGCCGTGAAGTAGGAAATTTGATTACATTCACTTAACCTTACCTTGAGGTTTTTCTGCAGCCTCTGGTTCTTCTGGGCCTCTGTTACCCTCTCCTCCTCGCTGCGATCACGGACCATGCCGGGAGAAGTGAGCTCAGCGCTCGCCTCTGCACTGCTTTCATCTGTCTCATCGTGCTCGTGCATATGAGGGTGGACTGAATTTTGGATGTGGACACCCATAAGTTTAGACTTCAGCTCCTCTTTGGTTCGCTCCAAATCAGCTTCTACCACCATCGCCTGTCGAAATAGAAATAGTATTTTTCTTTATCCCTAAACATGAACGGATATATAAATCACACCAAAACTACAATGACTTGTTTTATTTTGGGTAATGTCCTGTTGAATTCCTGGTGAAGCTATTTTCAATATTAAATGCAACATTTCTCAAATATGTTGTCTTCTGTGACTAAAGTCATTTGTCAGCATTGCATGCATTAGAAAACTGAAATAAGGGTATGCAACACTCAGTTTACAAGTGGTTTCCAGCATCAGATATCTCAGTGTCATCTTAGACTCAACTCTGTGCTTTAAAAAACAAGTAAATCAAGTAGCTGCAAAACCTAAACAGATGAAAGCTGAAGATGCTAAGATTTATTTCCATGGTGTGATTTTCTCACATACAAGCTACTTTATAACCACGTGGCCTCTTAACACCATCTATAATATTAAAGCCTGTACAATCTGTATGTAAACAAGATCCAAAGGCCCAGCCCAATAAACCTAAAAGCTACCATCAGTGTAATATAATTCCTAGATATGGTTTCATTTGCTGAGAACTTCTTATCAAATTTCACAATGCTTGTTTAATATTTAAAATGATCAGTGGATTAGCTCCTCCTCCATTTACTACATTCACCTACCAAAAAAAATGCTGGAGATATATTAAAAAGATCTAGAGTAAGAGCAGACATAGCTGTCCCAAGGAGGAAACATTTTGGACTAAACTCTTACCGTTTTTTTGCACGAAATCTTTAAATTAAAAAACAACCAGACATCATACGTAGTCACTGCTTGCTTTTCCTGCCTGCTCTTGTTTGCCCCTTCTAGTTTGATCCGTCTTTTGTAATATAATGTAATATTATGTTGTCATGTTTTAACTGCTTCTGCTGAATGTCTGCTAAACAAAACATGTTCTATTCTGCATGACGCTGCCTTACTGCTTATGCTTTTGATCCTGTTTAGCTGTTCATGTTTTGCTTTCTCTAATTCAAACTTTATATGTTGTGTGTTTTATTTGTTGATTTAATGTGCAATTTAACATCGGGCCGAGAGACAACATTTGACAATTGCCTTTTGACTAACACCGGCACATTTACAGTGATGCTGTCCCTGAGAATACATAAATATAGAAAATAAATCGAAATAAATATACAATTATTAGATCAGCTGAGAGCTAAATTTGATATAGCGAGGACACTTTTTTTTTTTTTTTTTTATGGATATTAACAGGTTCGAGATTGGGCTCATTTCCATCAATCCCTGAACCGACACTGCTGGATTCAGTTCGAAGTGGTACGCAGACTTCATCTGTCTAAAGTCAGACTCCGAAAGATGTACCCCTCAGCCGATGATTCTTGTAATAGATGTTAAAGTTAACCTGTAACACTATATATTCTAGTCTTGCCCGGGTCCCTCAGTTTACTGGTTCTCCATTTTTGAAGCCCTTTCCAAAATAAAATTGAAATGAAAAATTGATCCAGATCAGCCATTTTTGGTATTCAGTGTGAAGACAATCATCTCCCTAAGGAGCAGTCAGATTGCATTGCTCATGTCACCCTTTTAACCAGAAGACATATCACTTAATAGGAAGTATATGCATTTTATGGTTTGTTTAAGTCAACTATGGCTTCGCAGGGCTGAGGTTTGCTGTCTGGGATAAAGCAGTGACACCCATAAAATTGACACAATGACAATTTGAAAGTCTACTGATATACTTATCTGAGGTTGATGCTTCGCTTCTACTTCACCCGGGCTAACACTTAGAAGTGTCAGACATCCTTCTTTGCTTATGTTTGAATCATCCTTTATCTCGCTCGTGGCTCTTTCATTAATTCTCACCCTTTTCTGCCATCTATTCGCCTCCTCATCCTTCTTCTTTTTGGCGTCCTCCAGCTGGGAGATCTTAGAGGTAAGCTCTGCCAGCTCAGTGGCCTATATGCACACACACACAAATGGGGAGAGAGTTAAGAGTGCTCCTGATCTGAGGTCATTGTGCTCTCTGTCTGTGGGTGCACGTGTGTTGGAGAGAATGTGTGTGTCTGTCTGCGTGTGCGCGTACATGTTATGCAGCATCACGGCTCAGGTTAATTGCCTTTCTATTCAATCAGCAAAAAATGTGAATAATAAATCTACTATTAAGCTTAATTTGCGACATCAATACATTACTAGTTTTTAGTGTAGAGGTGGACTTCATCAATATATGTAAATATACAATAATGAATCTTTGATCACGGGAATAAAGTAAATTGGTCTCTGTCTGAATGATGACTTTACAGCAACCAGTTTTTCCATTTTTAGAATCTGAATGAATCTACCCTATAATTTAATCAATTCAATTAGAATTTAATCAAACTCAGCATGCAGGTGTGTTTTGTGAGTACCAGGCTTTCCTGGCTCTTCATCTGGCTTTCAGAATGATACAGCAGGGCTGCTTTAGCCTCCACTGCAGCTCTGCGGTCCTTGTCCAGTCGCTCAGCCTCCTCTTGAGCAATTGTCCTCTCCTTCTCTAACTCAAGAGCCCTGCGAGTCTGCTCCTCCAGCTCTGAAACACACATGTGCGCAGAAATCATCATCCACATATGCCCAGACATGCCCGCATAGTATATGTGCTTTGAAGATTTCCTAAAATCACAAATATTCAATATACTCAGCCATTCTTTTGATGTTCTTAAACAGAAAAAATGAAAATCAAGTTGAGAAACATTTGTATTCAGAAGGTTGTCAGACCATCTTGAGCTCTCTTTGTCTGCTCTTCAATCTGTCTCAATCGCTCCATCAGCTCCATGGTCTCACGAGCAATCTTCTCTGTTTCCTTCTCAGCATTTTCTCGCTTTTTTTTCTCACTCTCGAGCAGAGCCCTGACAGGAGAATTGTGCATAAATACACATCTGAAAAAAAACTATATCTCCTGACAGTTCTTTCTTAAAGCAGAGAGAACACACTGTAAACTTGAAAAAAAATACAGCCTTCATTATGTCTTCCTTTCTTACCTCTCCATCTGCCTCTTGTTTTTCTCCTCCCTGGCCTGGGCCTTCATCTGCTGCACCTCGATGGTGTCAGGTTTACGTCTACGCATGTACAGGTCATGATTCCCCATACACAATGCCAGGATACGTTTGTTAATGCGAAGACGGGGCACGTAGAAAACAAAGTCCTTTAGCAGAAAAATAAGCAATCAGTGATTTATGACACACAAGTAGCATCTCACATCAGTTTCACAGAGAAGAATGGGTTTATATCCTAAAGGCAGAGTTTTGTTTGGGAGAATTTAGTTAATTTTTCTGAACTCTTGGATGCTTTCCTGAAGTATGTGCACACAGGCAAATTGAAGTGTGAGGCTAAATTCATGTTTGTGAGTGAGATCAAGTAGCAGCTGCTCTCATTACTCTACTTGCTATAATTTATGCATTTGCCAAATTGGTCGTTTCGCCAGTAAGAAGGATATGAGATTCTGTCACATCTCCTGTTTATCGCCACAGAGAGTATGAATAGTCATAGCCTTGAAGAAGTACTTGTGGGATCTTGTATCTACTTGTGAAAATGTTTTCACAAAAAACTACCAATGCTAAGATAATGAGTGCCCTGCTAAACTCTTAGCACTAGACTTCACAAACATCCATGACTTGAGCTTAAATGAGCTCACACTTCAACATACCGTCAAGCTGCGCAAAAAGGCATCCTGTTAGTCTGACTTAAGGTATGTGGTAAAATGCCCACAATTCCCACAAACAAAACTCCTTTCTGTGTGACTTGTGTTAAAGTACATGTAATGATATATGTCATAGAAACTGTAGCTGCTGCAGATAAACCACTATTAAGTTAAATGTATTTTTTATTTTGCATACCGGAGCTTTCTTGTCGATTGGTTTGATGACAAACTTCTTGTCATTGAAGGAAATATTTCTGATCTCACTCCAGGGGAAGCCAATCTTTGGGGTCATCCTGTAAAATATTGGCAGGGTTTACCATCAAGGTCTATGGTGAAGTTAACAGAGGTTATTATGGTCTTAACACACAGTTAAAACATAATTATGACACAAAGAAAATAAACATTAAAGTTAAGCAGCTCTGTGAGGCTGTACTTAGGTATGGGGAGCTAAATGCTAAAATCAGTGTGCTAACATACTCATAGTGGCAATGCATATGTGCTGATGCTATGCAGGTTTACATGTTCTCAATCTTAGTAAAATATGATGGCATGCTAATATTTCCATTAGCTATGATGGGAATGCCATTAATTCTACAGGTATTTGGTCAGAAACCAAAGTTGCATCCTGAAAGTTTGACTTGATGGTAGCACTAGAAGAAAAATGAATGCTATTGCCTGCTAAAAATATGTCTTGCTTACTGTTCGAAACACATTTTTGCTTTGCCTATTGCTAAACTTCAATCTGCAGAATGCTGTGTGTGCTGAAGGCTGTTTTCATGTCCATCTGCTGAAACGGAAAAGTTTTTCAATGCACACCTTAAGACCTAATAAGACTTGCATTTTCGAGCAGGATTGGGATTGGGAGAACAAGCAGCTTCTAAATTCAGTGCAACAAAAACAGATGCATAAATGACTTAATGATTCACACTCAATTCTTCATGTTAAGAAGCCTGTTTGTATATTTTTTATAAAGGCACTGTGAGTCTATGTGTCAGGCTAATCTTAGGTATATAAGAAGCTACCTAAAAATGACAACGGCAAAACAATATGGAATGATTATCTCCCACTAACATTCTGCATGACAAGCTGGACTCAAGGGAAAGTTACAATACTTCAGTCCATTTCCTCTGAGTACAAGCAGGCTCTCAAAGTGTTACACAGAAAAACCAATACGTACCATCATTACAACATTCTTGATAAATTTGACATCCTTGGTTGGGAAAATCTAATGAAATACACTGACACCTGCTTGAAGTGGAGATTTAAACAACAGACCTATATGAGATCTGCACTGAGAGGGAACCACGTATTCCCTTACAGATCCAGCTCCCTCAGCCAATCATGTTTTTTTTTTGTAATAGCATCTCAACTGTGGGACACCCTACCAATTGAAATAAGAGACTGTTCCACCTGTTACACCTTCACACAAAGGCCTCACTTTTGGAAAGGCAGGTGTGAGCATTTTCATTCAAATGGTAATTTCGTTATTATGTCGAACAAGGAGGTTATAATGCCAAGAGGGTCATGTTCTTGGTTTGGTTTGTTTGTTTGTTTTTTAGCAGGGTAATAGAAAAACTACTGAACTGATTTTAATGAAACTTGGTGTAAGGGTGTAGCATGGCTACAAGAACCCGTTCAGTTTTGGAGTGGATCTGAAATACAGGGCAGATATGCAATTTATTTTTTCACTTTCATTAACATTGTGAGATAGGGCCTTTGGCCTTGGCAGAGGTCAGTGCTCTTCAAGTGCCCTACTTGTTATAGTTGATCTGGGAATGTATGCAATAATTACAAGCAGGCTATTTTATAACAATCAAGTATGCTCTTCTGTACTCTTCTCTGTCTTCTAATTCTGTGCTACATGGTATATGTTTGTCATGTCATATAACCAATTTAACAACTTGTAACTGCATCGTTTAACTTTTTTTTATGAAGACCTTCATTATGATTGTTGTATTTTTATGTGTGTCTTATTGCTTTTTGTTGCTCTGCATGTCTGCATGCATAAAAAAGGCTATAAACAGTACTGTTGGTTTTGTTTTGTTGCTTCATGTTGCTGGGTTGCATGGCTACATGTACTGAATATTGGATGTTGTTGATGTATTACTGAATTAATGTTTCCTGTTTCCTGTTGCTCTGGTTTCAAAACATCTGGCAGAAGGACTACAGTTGAAAATTAGCCATCTGAAAAACTGGTACATTTACAGTAATGTTGATTACTCTGATTTGTCCTTATTAATAGATAAATGAAATCAAAGGATCACCAAAGCCATGACTGTACAGTCAATCCTGTGGAGGAGATGAATGTTGTCCAAAATGTTATGATGGCATGAGTTGCAATGAGTTGTCAACACATCTCACTTTGACTCAAAAATCTTATCCTGATGTTAGAGCAAGACAAAAAGTAAGGGGAACACCAAAGTCATTAAGCTACAGTATATTGCTCGGAAAACTTGACTTGATATTATGTCATTTTGCTGAATAAGTGCCAACTTTGACCTGCTGATGGTGCTTAATGAAAAGTCTGGGAATCCCCAAGGTCAGGGGGATTCATCTTCTGGGGACCATGAATGTCTGCATGAAAATTCATGAAAATCCATCAGTAAGACAAAGGTCCAGTGTGGGAAGATGGCGGCGCGCATGGACGCAGCGGCTCTTAGCTCTTCGTTTCGGTGTATAGTTTTTGTAACATTTATATTTAATACTGCACTGACCGGAGAAGCACTGCAATTTCATTGTATACTGGATGTGCAATGACAATAAAGTTCTATTCTATTCTAGTCATTGAGATATTTCACCATGGATATCTGTACCACATTTTGCGACAATTAAATGTTGAGACACACATAAAAAATGTCAACCCCATTGTCATGCTACATGAAAGGCCAGGGGGTCACCAAAGTTAGTAGGATTCATCCACTGAGGACCATGAATGTCATACAAAAGTAACATGCAGGAGAACTGATTCAAGAAAAGCTTGTCAAAAACATATACATTTTTAAATTGCGACCTACTTGTCCTTTTTGTCATAGATGTTCAGCCCCAGCGCGTCCACTCCCAACCACAGCTCTGATCCTTTCTTGTTCTTGATATTAAAGTAGTTGACCCCGTACATCTCCAGATCCTGGGCTATCTTGAGGTACTCCACCATGGCGTCCTCTCTGTGGGATGGAGTAATTAATAAGTTACAGAACACTTGTGTTGCAAAAAAAAATGCATTCAAGACTTTTTGAAGAAAGTCTGCAGTACCTCAGCATTCCCTTGTGCTCTTGATGCCACACCTGGATTCTTTCCTCCCACTGGTTTTTATTCAGCTTGTGCTGCTCTAAAACCCTGGTTTTATCAGTGAAGACGACACACCAGTGAGAATTCAGATGACTAAAATCAGAATTAAGTTAAACTTTGATCAACACTCAGAACCACAGGAATCAGTACCTCTGTGGCAGCAGCTTCTCTCTTGTGAGGTATCCCGGTACGTGATAGTCTTTCCTGTAGTCTCCTTGTTTGACCTGAACCGCATACGAGGCCAAGAGCACCGCAGTCTCAGGTGGACAGTATATGTCATCATTTAGGATGGATTCTTTGATCTAAAACAAAGAAGAGAGACAGAAAGATCTACTTTAACACATAAATCCCTAATGTTTGATGATATTGTATGTGTAAGGGTGAGAGACAATTCCTATGTGTTCTGGTGTTTATTTACTGCACCTGGATTCCTTTTTTGTGTGCATGCACTCCCCTAAGAAAGACCGATGAGGGTTAATCGGATCTGCGTGAGTCATCGTGGAACCCTCACTGGTCGTTAAGGTTTTGTTTTGATTGAGATACCTTAGTTATCATTGCATCTGCAAGGTGCATCTGCACTTACATAAGATAGCATTAATTACCACATATCCACTTTGTCCATATTCCTTTAAATAATTCCTATTGTTGTTTTAATATTTATTGTACACTTCTTTTAGCATATATCAATAGTTAAGAAATGGATGTGGATACTACTTATGGCATACAAATAAAAAAATGGCGCCATCTAATTAGAAAATGAATACGAGTGATGAGGAAAGTCTATCATTTCCATCCCATATTTCCCTTCAAAAATATCAGTGTCCTGGTGTATGCATTCATCTCAAACCTGCAGAAAGAAGAGGCGCTGTGTTGCCTCCTGGATCAGTTCATCCGCGACATCCTCAGGGTAAAACTTGGCCCTGAACTTAATCAGCAAAGGGTTGTCCCTCTTCACATCTTGAGCTGTCACCTGGGATCGGCACCCCACAGCAGAGGGATGCCGGAATGAAGAAAAATATGTGCTAATTAGCCTCAATGGGTTGACGAAGAAGCATAACCATAAGCATGATGACATCTTCATTTAAAAGTTATGCCATCAAGGGATGTAAAGTTGACACAAACTTTCTCCTCACCCTCTTGTTCAGCTTGAGCCAGGTGGAGAAGCCTTTGCTATCCTGATACTGGAGGCCAAAGAACCAGGTTTCCCTCAGCCCGATGGTCTTCACTATCTAAACATACCAACAAGTAACATGATCACACATTTGTCTGCCAAAGCACCTGTTTGGCTGTAATGCACTGCTGCGTACCTGGTCGAAAAGCTGTTTGCCAGTTGTGCTGGGCAGGATGGCAAACTCCAGCTCAGCGTCCATGGTTGTAACCCGGACATTTATCTGCCAGAGAAAACACTCACACTGAGCCACAGGAGGGAAAAAGATCCCTGCAGCTCATTCATCTGTGTCACTGGAGAAGCATCAAGGAGCATGCAGAGCAACAGCTGGGTGAAGAAAAGCACTACCAAATCTGTGATCATTTAGTTTTCTCTCTGAAACAATGCTACATTTCTTGGTTCTTTGACAGCAAAATGACCAAAAAGAGTGTTTCTTACATTCTTCTGTTCAACCAGGAGCATCCAATCGCAAGAGGTTGGTGGGGACTACAATCAAAAAATGAAGCCCACAGTATATTTTAGACTTAACTGAGAACATGGGGTTCATTCTATGATGCATAAGTATTAACGTCTGGGTCAAAAACAATGACACCCATTTAGTGTTATTTCTGAATATTCCTACCAAACCATACACATATATCTGCAGTTGCTGGTACAGATTGACTTGTACAAAACAAAACAACAACGAAACAACAGCATAGAGAAGAAACTGATGGCGCCATTCCTCATATACGTTGCTGAGATTCATAAAACAAGGCAGAGCTTTCATTAGTGCCTGTAATAGTAATGATAATAATAATTTTCTACAGTTATAAGCCTTGCTGAACATCCTCTGGGGACTGTCTGCTGTAACGGATATTTATGAAAACAGGAAGAGATGGCTTAACTTTGCCACTGGTGTTCATCTACTAAATGTGACAACAGACAATAAAACCAGAGACGGTTTTAGGTGAAGAACTATGGACTAATGCCCTCTTGAAGCCTTTGCATTACAGAGCAGTTTAACAAATTCAATCGAATCCCTACAGCTGCAAATACATATGAAACACAGTGAAAATTATGATAAAAAAAAAGAGACGTAGCTACTTACAGTTGACATTTGTGGTTTTTTAATCTGTAGTCGAAACACTTCTTCAGAGAGGTGCTTGTAGTAGCCTTTTCTCTGCGGAGTCATATGAAACTGCTTGCAATACCTACAAGGATTATACTGAACGAGAATGGACCATTGTATTGTTCCCAAATACTTCTCTCTTAGCTAATCCAATAGCAGCTCGGCCCCCCCAACATTATAGAGAGGAACCCTTCATCTTCTGTGAAGACTTTTCATCTTAATTTAATTATGTTTTGACTGTGTGTCACTCATTAAGGGCCTACACACAATGTTTGTCTCCCAAACCTATTTATAGATGGACACAAATCAACAGTTACTCAGCAGCACCTGGTGTTCCAGTGGGAGTGAATGTGCCAGTGCACTCTGCTAATCTAATAATCCGTCCAGTTAATGTTTTAAGCATATGTTGTTATGGCATACAGCGACCTTGGGGTTGGTGTGATGGTGTGATTGGTCTGTAGGCCTGTTGCTAACTAATCAACATAAGAGTGTAGTAGCTAAGAGGGCCGAATAAATTGAATACTTTGGCTGTATTCAATTAATCTACATGGCAGAGGTGGGCACCTCTGTGCTCTGGCCAGGTTAAGGGTGACAGTGCTTTGAAAGGTAAATACCCTTAATCAGACCAAACACTCAAATACTTTTTGCAAGCTCCCTTGCCTAAGACTAATTATTTGAAAAATCCCAGAATGTGTTCAGTAAGTCTGTTATTTGGCATGTTGATTAATCAAAATCACAGTTGCAAAGTGTCATTCACACTCCATACTTCACATTTACCATCCCCAAGTCACCATATCCTGCAATTAAGGGCCATTTTATGCACACCCTGAACAGCGCATAGCTTTGTTCTGACCTGTCACAGCTCCCAGTGCCCTACCTGCTGAGTCTGATAAGACTTTTATTCCCTCTTCAAAGGTAAGAAAGTCATCTTGAGTAAACCCCAAGTATTTGTAATGCTAAGTGTATGACAGAGGTGTTAAGCCAAAATGAAACTTAAACTTCCTCTATAACTCTCCCTCCTTCCTGTGATGCATAATTGCTTAGTTTCACCTTTAACTTCAATCTCCATTTGCGACACCAACAGTACACAGTATTAAACAAACTGTCAGGATCATTTTGAGTCTTGCAAGGAGGACAGTATCATCTGCGTATAGAAGAGTGCCACCCCTAAAGTCACCTAATCTGACGTCAATAGCTGCTTTCTTACTTTCAAGTGCTAGATAATTGATCGTTTCCAGTAAATTTATTCACGTACTGTTCTTATACGTACAGTATAAGTACTTGTAGTTGAGTTTCTATTGATACCACTGTTATTTCGCTGTATTTCAAATATAGACCCTTTTTATTCCAATATGTTATTTCATTATATTTCATTAGTATTACTTTAAAACAATAGTCATGAGTAACTTCACAGATTACATTACACCACAACATTAGCTCCAACATTAAATGCTGCTTAGTAATACATCAGTATTAGTGATCAAATGTTATAATATTTGATTATATATAACACTGACAATGCCATTCTACATGAGGAGTAGGCCACTTTTACTTTTAATAGTTGAAGTATATTTTTCTGATTTTGGATGCTGGACCTGTACTTAGACCAGTGATACTGCACGTCATGTATTAATGATACTCGTTACCTGGAGAGGTTGGAAAAAGATATACAATTCTTCCCTGTTCCAAAACCAAAATCCAATCCTGAAAAGTGTAGAGTTAACTAGCTAGCTACTGAAGATAGGGCCTACTGAATGTATACACATGCTGCTTTTGCTTTTTAATGATTATAACACTGAAAAAAAGCCAAACACTGTGGGTCTCATTCATGAAAAGTGAGTAAATCTGTGTGTAGATTTGCACATAAAAGCCTACGCTATTAAAAACCTACTCCGGATTCAGGAACGCCGCAGGAAACTCAGATTTGATCGTAAACACGTGTGTATGATCATGAATGCCAATCCATCATAAAGTGACAGCGCGCTCCCGGTAATCAGCAATTAGCATAAATCCCCGCCCATGAATAGCCAATGACCACCATATAAGGAGGTGTAGGTGCATCCAGTCGACCTGTCAGTCATGGCGCAAAGAAAGAAAGAGAAAGAAAGAAAAAAGAATTTTTCTAAAGCGGAGATCGAAATAATTTTGGGTGAAGTGGACTTAAGAAAAAACATTTTATTTTCTTCAGTTAGTAGTGGTGCAACAGGGACTGGCAAAGCGAAGGCCTGGAGGGAGGTAACAGATGCTGTTAATGTTGTCTCCGTGGTACAAAGAACCATGTCAGAGGTGAAGTGTAAATGGTTTGATATGAAACTGGAGGCAAAGAAACGCATAAGCACACATACAAAAAATACAGCGGTCACCAAACAAACAGAAGATTCATTTGTGGGGTTTTGAATGAAGTGGGAACGGGAAACCAGAGATGTTTTCTGCGTAATGGATAAACTCTAAATCAGTGATGGCTGTCGGAATGTAGAGCTATTTAACATTTATTTTAACAAATGATACGGATAACATATAGCCTACAGCAGTTTCGTATGCATCGTCTTCAAATTATTTGAATCTTAATAGCCTAAAGCTCTGTTTTATACAACGTAAATTAAACATTTTTCAAATCAGATTTATTCATTCAAATGATTAAAAAGCCACAAAAAAAAATTTAAAAAATTAAAAACGTGTTGTCTCAAATAATTCTTTCAGCTGGCGCGTGCTCCTTCGTGGCTCCACCACCTGCTGCTCCTGCTGCTCCTGCTGAACCCAGGCACCGAGGCCGAAGAGGCTGTGATCCGGCTGTCCTTAGGGATATTTTTATTATCATCGTTCAACATGTAGAAAGAATGTGTAAACTACTGAGTCGATTTACATAGATAATTCACAATCATGAACCTAATCTGGATCTTAAACCTGCTAATTGCCAACTAATGTCACTAAATGTGTTATATTTTTAATATTTTGTCATGTTTAGATTACATGTTTCAAAGGCATCTGTGTATTGTGTGCGTAACAGAGCGCAATATGAATTAAAACTGTAATTTCCAATAGTGACAAGCAATATTTATGTGCCTTACTAAATTTACACAAGCACTACAAGTGGTCAGGAGCAGGAGTAGATTTTGTTAGTAGCTACGAAAAGATCGGAGCTACTAAAATATTGATGAATGCGGACATGCACGTAAATGTCCGTCTGCGAACAGTTTACACACAAATTCCTTCTGCTCACGTTTCATGAATGAGACCCTGTGTATCTGCACACACTGTGATGCCATACAGCTGGTTCAATAATCTGCAAAGTTTTCCTTTACATTCATTGTCTTCGGTTGCGAACAGTAGTGATGTGGTGGTTCACTTTTACACTGTGATCTGAAGCCTATAGTATAGTTTTTTATAACTATCTTTATTTAACTATCTATGTTTAACCTGTTTTTGCTGCTGAGTGAGTTTGACATTCTGGATATATCCTTCAAGCCACTTTATAGATCACTCTTCTCTCTGGAATCACTATTTCATTTTTCCAAAAAATATTATAACATTTCTTCAAGGACTGCAGGTAGTTACAGTGTGGGCTCCATGCTGACTGTGACAGCCTGTTGGACCATCACAAAGGGGTGAGGCTCAGCGAAAGGTCAATAGGGTGGCAGGTGGCCCCCAAATTATTTTCTAATTCACAGTGTAAATAAACTGATAAACACTGGTAACTGTTTTTTTTTTTGTAGTTTTAATGTAAATAAGGAGACAGAGTGCATTAAAAAGCATGAAAATAGGGCTTTTTTATTGAGAAATGCCAGCGGAGGAGCTCCCAGAGAACCCAACAGAGGTCCAGGCTATGTCCTGAATGCCCTCAAATCCTTAAAACGCCCCTGCGTACACCTTACCTGTTTGGGGCTGCTACAACTGGCCCCTGGCCTCCTGTCATATTGCAAAAGTGGCCCCTGGGTAAACCAAGTTGACTATCCCTGACTTAGACGATTCCTTCCTTGTGGTGTTGCTATTTTGACTTAAGTAATCTGATCTGGAAACTTATTTCACCACCGACTACAGCCTTGATATATCGTATTGACTAATAAGTAAAGCCAAACTTAGGCCTACTGTCCCTTTACATTTTTTCCTTTTACTCCGTTCCTCCCAAAGAAACTATAACCTTTCCTTGATTCCTTACACACTTCAGAGTGTCACACATTTACTGAATGTTACATTTAATATTAATGTGGAGTGAGGCTATTTGTATTGCGGTGTAACAGATGAGTTAAGGGGAAGTGGATACTTTGGTTTATAATTACAGCCTGTGTGTGGCACAGGGCTCGTGCTGTCACTCATCACACGTAGCACATTGCGGGCGCGTGCTCGTGTGCGCGCTCACACCGGCTATTGTGTTTTTATCAACAAGGAGACCATCGTGGCCTTACGGGTATCTGAGCCGGCCAGCTAAACGACAAGGGACCATGGCGGACGAACAAGAAATAATGTGCAAATTAGAAAATATCTTGGAGATACGGTGAGACTTGGACCCTGAATGAAACGTTTTGTAGTCAGATATTGGGCACGCACTGAGAAACGTTATCTTAGCTAACATTATCCGGCCAAGGAGAAGCCCCCTTGGCTCCGCTTTTGTTACTGAGCTAGCTAATATTAGCCTGTCTGCGAACCTGTCTATAATAGGTTTGTGCTGTTCTAGTTTTAGCCTGTTTCCGTCGGGGTTTGGAAACATTCACCACAGCCTGGACGATACATAGGTTCACAGAAACTGTAACGTTAGTCCAGGTGCATCTTCGTATCATACATACATCAACATTCCAGATGTGTAACGTTAACGTTAACGTTATCAACAAAATGCCAGCTGTGCGGTGCTAATTATTTCTGTGGGTAAGCTAGCTACTTAGCTAGCAGGCTTATCGGTCTGTCATTATCTCAGTGAACACCGATGGCAGAATGGTGTTTGTTTGCCCTCATGTCTTCTTTGCAGCCACACTTAGTAACTGCGTAACAGATGTGCATAATATCTTAATTACTGCATTTAATACATTAATTCATGGCTGTAGTGATTGGCCATTCGGCTTAAAATCAGTGCAGAACATCTGTGAAGTTATTCATTATTTTACACAAACTCAAAGCACTGGATGACAGATGGAAAATAATGTCTGGTGTTTGAGATCTTGTTGTATTTGTGGGGAAATCTCTTTCCATTTGTTGCATCTGTGAGGGGAATAACCTGACAGTTGGTGTCTTTTGTCTGCGCCACTGTTCACAGGAACAAGACTGTCCAGATGCAGAAGATCAAGTCGCGTCTTAAGATTGAGTTTGAGGCCCTGGAGTCTGAGGAGAAGCACCTGAAAGAGTACAAACAAGAGATGGATCTGCTTCTACAAGAGAAAATGGCACATGTGGAGGAGCTGCGGCTCATACATGCAGATATCAATGTGGTGAGTGAGTCCTGCGGTCAGAGTTAAGCACTGTCTGTAGAGGAAATGATCGTGAAATCACAGCTCAGCTTTCAGATGAGTACACTTTAGCAACAGCACTGAGGATAACAATGTTAGGCCAACAATGCAAAATACAACTGTAGTGAATCCATTATGAAGTGACTGTATTATTTTCACAACAAAATATGCACCATGATGTCCAGGTACAACAATGACTAGCTTACACTGAGCGTATTACATTTATGTACAGTACAGGCCAAAAGTTTGGACACACCTTCTCATTCAATGCGTTTTCTTTATTTTCATGATTATTTACATTGTAGATTCTCACTGAAGGCATCAAAACTATGAATGAACACATGTGGAGTTATGTACTTAACAAAAAAAGGTGAAATAACTGAAAACATGTTTTATATTCTAGTTTCTTCAAAATAGCCACCCTTTGCTCTGATTACTGCTTTGCACACTCTTGGCATTCTCTCGATGAGCTTCAAGAGGTAGTCACCTGAAATGGTTTCCACTTCACAGGTGTGCCTTATCAGGGTTAATTAGTGGAATTTCTTGCTTTATCAATGGGGTTGGGACCATCAGTTGTGTTGTGCAGAAGTCAGGTTAATACACAGCCGACAGCCCTATTGGACAACTGTTAAAATTCATATTATGGCAAGAACCAATCAGCTAACGAAAGAAAAACGAGTGGCCATCATTACTTTAAGAAATGAAGGTCAGTCAGTCCGGAAAATTGCAAAAACTTTAAATGTGTCCCCAAGTGGAGTCGCAAAAACCATCACCGCTACAACGAAACTGGCACACATGAGGACCGACCCAGGAAAGGAAGACCAAGAGTCACCTCTGCTTCTGAGGATAAGTTCATCCGAGTCACCAGCCTCAGAAATCGCAAGTTAACAGCAGCTCAGATCAGAGACCAGATGAATGCCACACAGAGTTCTAGCAGCAGACCCATCTCTAGAACAACTGTTAAGAGTAGACTGCTCGAATCAGGCTTTCATGGTCAAATAGCTGCTAGGAAACCACTGCTAAGGAGAGGCAACAAGCAGAAGAGATTTGTTTGGGCCAAGAAACACAAGGAATGGACATTAGACCAGTGGAAATCTGTGCTTTGGTGTGATGAGTCCAAATTTGAGATCTTTGGTTCCAACCGCCGTGTCTTTGTGAGACGCAGAAAAGGTGAACGGATGGATTCCACATGCCTGGTTCCCACTGTGAAGCATGGAGGAGGAGGTGTGATGGTGTGGGGGTGTTTTGCTGGTGACACTGTTGGGGATTTATTCAAAATTGAAGGCACACTGAACCAGCATGGCTACCACAGCATCCTGCAGCGACATGCCATCCCATCCGGTTTGCGTTTAGTTGGACCATCATTTATTTTTCAACAGGACAATGACCCCAAACACACCTCCAGGCTGTGTAAGGGCTATTTGACCAAGAAGGAGAGTGATGGAGTGCTGCGGCAGATGACCTGGCCTCCACAGTCACCGGACCTGAACCCAATCCAGATGGTTTGGGGTGAGCTGGACCGCAGAGTGAAGGCAAAGGAGCCAACAAGTGCTAAACACCTCTGGGAACTCCTTCAAGACTGTTGGAAAACCATTTCAGGTGACTACCTCTTGAAGCTCATCGAGAGAATGCCAAGAGTGTGCAAAGCAGTAATCAGAGCAAAGGGTGGCTATTTTGAAGAAACTAGAATATAAAACATGTTTTCAGTTATTTCACCTTTTTTTGTTAAGTACATAACTCCACATGTGTTCATTCATAGTTTTGATGCCTTCAGTGAGAATCTACAATGTAAATAGTCATGAAAATAAAGAAAACGCATTGAATGAGAAGGTGTGTCCAAACTTTTGGCCTGTACTGTATTTCTGAAATACACAATCCTGTACTTTTAGATGGAGAGCACCATCAAGCAGTCAGAGAATGACCTGAACAAGCTGCTGGAAACAACTCGTCGCCTGCATGATGAGTACAAACCTCTGAAGGAGCACGTCGATGCCCTCAGGATGACTTTAGGTCTTCACAGACTCCCTAACCTGAACGAAGAAGAGGAAAAGCTCTCCCTGGAGTCAGTATACACACAAACAGATACACACACACACAAAAAAAGCATGCAATATACACTGAAATTCAGATGTTGCTTGACATAGTTTAATGTGCGTTGTCTTGATATTGTTGCCCAAAGGCTTGCAGAGACATAGTGAGTATATTGGTTAATTTTATTAATTATTAGGTCAGAGGTGGGACCAAATCATTATTTTGTAAATCACATGTAAGTCTTTGCACTCAAATTCCAAGTCCTAAACTTTAAGTTTGGAGTCATAAACAAGTTATAATGTACTCTTTTCCATAACTAATGCCATTTTAACAACAAAATAATATATTAAATGTACAAAAATCATAAATGCTTTTAAAAATGTAATGTAACGTAACGTTAATTCTTCGTGGTTCTCACCTGCAACTTCACTGGATGCTGTTGGATTGGTTCAAACAAAGTGGATCTGGGGAATTAAGTGTCCACTTGCTGTGAATGAATAGCATCAAAAGTCAGTATATGAAGGGAAATTAAATGATTGGTGGCACACTTTTTAGATAACATTCTTTTAACTCTTTGGGCTTTGGGGGAGGTATGTATTTTCAAGTCAAAAAGCTCGAGTCAAAGTGAAGTCATGTGTTGTTGGTGTTAAAGTCCAAGTGTCATATCTTTTTTGATTTTGTCTAAAGTCATCAAAGTTGTGACTCCAATCTGACTCCAAGTCATGTTACTCAAGTTCACACCTCTGCCATAAGAACATATAAATGTAGCATAAACAAGAAGAGAAAAAGAAAAAAGAAAAATGGACTCGAGCCTTGTAGTACACCACATGTAATCAGTGGGTTTCAGAAAATAAACTCATTCACAGAGTGTTGTAATATCCACCAAGTCAAAGAGTTCCTCTCCAGTGCCATCTTTTAAATACTGACCTATTGCTTCAGTCTATTAATAAGGTTGCTTTGGTCCACAGTGTCATATGCGGCATCAGGCTGCAACAGCACTCATCCAGATACAATTTATGGGCCTGATGACCGCATCTGTCACAGCATCACTATGCACGAGCCATTCAGTGATAACAGAACCCAAACTGGAAATTTGTCTTGATATTTCTTATTATAATTATTGTTTAAGTCTTAGAGTAATGAAAGGTAGTTATGCAACGGACGCATATAAAAATCATGTAGACAATTTTTTTTTTTTTGCACACAAGCAGCCTTTGAATATTTAGACACAACAGAGAGCAATCTGGTTGGTACATAATTTAAAAAGTCTGAGGGGAATTCCATTGATGTCCACAAAGCCAGAAAATAGTTTCACATTTGAAATAAATCAGTTCACAGAGTGAGATCAGGCTAATGTAACTCGATATATTATGATAAGGACAGGATGATAAGGACAGCTGTCTGTAATGAAAGTAGGACGGAAAATCCTAGACCAGATGTCCTTAGCTTTATCTGAGAAGGTTAGCAATATTTGGCTGTCAAAACCATAGATGAAAAGGACTCTAGAGGGAAAATGAATTATATGGAAATGTCAACAAATTTTGACTCCTGTTTTCCTGGACAACAGTATCTATGGTTTATGGTCAGTGATGTCCACCAAAGCAATAACAATCCTCTGTCAAAGTCCAAGATATTTTTATGTTGGTAATTGGAGAGGAATATTTCAGCATTCAGCAGATTGACCAGAGCAGTGCAGCAATGTGCAACAGTAAATAATCACAAACAGGGTTATGAATTAATTAATACTTATACTGACAATTCTGTTGGGTGTTTACAAATTGTACAGATCATGGCAGTGTCCCCAAATGTCTTTAAATGTAGCTGTTAAGATGACAGTCAGTTGTAGTAGTCTGCCAGTAGTTTTGCAACAGATGTTCAGGTCAGATTTCTCAGACGTCAAGGACGAATAGCAGTTCCCTGCCCTTTTCATCACCATGGTGTCATACGGTTTTTGTTATGATGAAAAGTGCAGCTTATTCTTGAAACAGTGTGGGGTGGGGGAAATTTCCTACACTGCATTACAGAAAATATTCTTTGAGTGGGAGATTATCTTCTGGTCCTCAGTTTTCGGAAGAACCCGATAATATATCTGTTTTTAATATTTAGTCATTTATCTGTATGGAGTGTTGAGCAGGCTTTCATACAGAGCTGTGCAACATATCAGTGTTATATTGATATCATCATATAGGACTAGATATTGCCTTCTTATCCCGATTTTGGATATTGTTATATCTTAAGTGTTGTCGTTTCCTGATTTTAAAGGCGGCATTACAGTAAAGTGATGTAATTTCTGAACTTATCCGACTGTTTTAGCTGATCTATTATTAACCTTTACCCACTTAGTCATTATGTCACCTTTACTGATTAATATTTATCAAAAATCTAATTGTGTAAATATTTTGCGAAAGCACCAATAGTCAACTCTATAATATCAGTGCAATTATTAATATCAAAGTATTTGGTCAAAAATATCGACATATTTGATTTTCTCCATATCGACCTGTCCTACTTTCATAGCCATAATGTATATTATTGACAAGAAGATCTTTGGATTATCTCAAGTTAGTGGGACATTAATTTTTAAATGCCACTTTTTGATGCTTTGAACAAAAACAAAATTCCATTCACTTTTATCGTATTTTGGGGGCAACACAAGTCTCAGCAGATATCCATAAACTTTGGTACATTAAATCAACATGTACACACATGACTCTTGGTGGTTGGCCTTAAAAACTCTGCATTGAATTTAATTCAAAAATGCCAGTGTTCATCAAACAACACTCGAGGGCGAATTCACAAAAAAGGATTTTGTGAATTGAACCCACAGAGGACTGTTGTATCGTCAAACTGTGCCAAATATCCTTTTTTTTATGATATAGATTATTCATTCATATCCTGTTGGGGGTTCGCAGAGGTGCTGGAGCCTATCCCAGCTGACATTGGGAGAGAGACAGGGTACATCCTTGACAGGTCGCCAGACTATCACAAGGCTAACATAAAAAGACAGACAACCATTCACACTCACATTCACACCTATGGGCAATTTAGAGTCACCAAAAAACCTGCATGTCTTTGGACTGTGGGAGGAAACCGGAGTACCTGTAGAAAACCCACGCTGACATAGGGAGAACATGCAAACTCCGCACAGAAGGGCTACCCCACCCTGGAACTCTCTTGCTGTGAGGTGACAATGCTAACCACTGCACCACTTTGCTGCCATATAATATGAATTATGAATGAATGAATGAATTTATTTTATTTCGAACATAAAAAAATAAAATTTAAAGACAGAAAACAGAATACAAACAAAAAAGAACTGTCCGAAAAGGAGCAGGTAGAAGTAAAACTTATATGACCCTACCCCTTTCTTACTTATCTATTAATAAATTAAACAGCTTCATAAAACAATTTACAACCAAATATAAACATACAAACAACTATCCCCAATTTATTTACAACCCAAATTAAATATATACACATTCATCAAATTATTTACAACCCTAATATCCACCCAGTGTTATTATTATAACAGATACAAATTAAAATTCAGGTAGCCTACTTGAATAATGTAATCAATTACTTTTTCAGTCCACTAGGTACACTTTGCTGCTGCAAAAAAAGAAGTGGGATGAACAGACTAAAAAACTTGATTGTGATAATACCGCATCATGAAGCCACTAGTGATTCCCACCCCTCCTTTCCAGTAATCCTGGCAGCAGTGATTGTGGCCAGGTGAAGGCACAGTCATGCCAGGTGTGCCCCTGCAATTCCTCGGTTTTTATTTATTTATAGCATTGTTCTGCCAACTGTGTTCTTGACGCAAAGGTAACATTCATTCTTTGCCACATAGATAACTGCAGTCACTTGCAAACCTTTATAGGGGATGTTTGCACCGTAATATCAGTTGCACAATATCTTTCGGGGGAATGGACCTTGAGACGGGACACATAGCATTGCAAGTGATATGCAAATCATGGTGCTGTCAGCGGCCGCAGTCTATTCTTTTTGAATTTTTACTTTTTAGTTGTTTGAGTCTCTGTAGCTTGCATTGTGTAGAGGACGTTCAAATAATTTCAGGCTTGAAGAGAAGTATCTGATGGGTGTTTGCTTGATGGACAGGTCTGTTAGCCTATTCAGAAATTGAGTTTCACATAATTTCCCCTCCATTTGTCTAGTTTCTGTCTTCACAAACTTGATAAATATATCCATTTTGAAGCCTCTGAGTGTCCCTGTTATCCACAACATTGCAGGCACATCAGGGAGGACTGACAGATAACAAACTGCAGTCTAACACCCATCGACAATGTATGATATTACTGTAAGAGTGGACAGTTTGCTGTGGAGCAAATCTGAAATGTTAACGTGGCCAAGGATCATGTTTTCAAGTGTTCTTTGGAACAGTTGTAGAAAATGCTGCTATGGTACAGACCAAAATATTGTCTGTAATGATTCGGCCAGATGTTGATTTGGTCCCTTACTCGCAGGTACAGCTGTCAAGATGTGACATTCCATCTCACTTGACAGTAAAAAGGGAAATTCAAAGTAATTGAAATTGTAGTTTAGGTTGGTAAGGATATTTTAAATAGAAATGTTTTACACAAATGAAGAGCTTAAGTTCTGAGGAAGTGTGCTGGACCAGCGCTGCGTCGCACGCTGACAGCACTGTTGGCAGGCTGGCTTCTCAGTTTGGCCGTGTTCTGTGTAGAAGCTGAGATGATGAGTTCATTTGGCCAGGTGGTAGTCGTCTCTCTTTTCCTTCTTGGTGGCGTGCTCCTAGATTTTCCCAGCGTTTACTTAGAAAGTTATCGCTGTTGTTCTTAGGTGGGGGTTTTTTTTTTCTTAGAGAACTCTTCACTAAGGAAGATTTCCGATGACATCTGAAGAGATGCTATAACGATCACTTTTACACCTCGCTGCCAGAAAAATCATTCTAGCACTAATAGCACCTAATGTAGATGTTTTAGACGGTGTGATCTTGTGAGAACTTCTGAGAATATTAAGTTACATTTCACATGCCTAAGGGGTCAGTAAGAGCAAAATCATCCCACTTTAATATTAACTTTTCTGAAAACAAGAACAGCAAAGAATTTGTATCAAACAAACTTGTGTTAACTGAGACATACTGACGTGTTTGTGTAAAGTGTTGCTTGGAAATATGCTTAAATAGGGCTTTGGTGGATCGTGGTTACAGGACATATAATCTTTTAAATTTGTTCTGTGAATCTTCTGCTCTATCACAAACCTATTTTGAGAGAAACCAGAGAGCTTAAAGAAATGGGATATCACTTTTTTCTTTTTTTGAAAATGGGACAGTCAGGCCTAAAGTCCAAGGCCAAATTTCTTTCCCAGCCCTCCACACTCACGGACACGCTCACATGCGTGCAGACAAACACTCTCACACTGACTGTACTTTTGCTCAGAGTTGTACATATAAAGGAGACGTGTGAGATTGACTATAATGTTCTCCAATTTTAGTCGCCCTTTGTATTTGGTTTTGTCACTCGGCGTCTCTTGATACACAGCTAAGAAGGGATAATCTCAACTGTGATATGATTCATACGCTCTAAATAAGAATCACAGCTAGCCAGGTTTCTCTCTTTCTTTGCTTTGAACAGTTACTTTGAGAAGCAGAAAGCCGAGTGGCAGAAGGAGCCACATGAGCCCGCCATCCCAGAATCTCTTGCTGCCGCTGCAGCAGCAGCACAGCAGCTTCAGGTGTCCAGGAAGCAAGATGCACGCCAGACGGCCACCTTCAGACAGCAACCTCCACCTATGAAGGTAATGCTCATACTAAAGTAGCTGCAACCAGGATCTGAAGAAAGGTCTTGCTTTTGGTGGATGGTCTGACCTAATTATACAGCAGCCATTTTATTTTAAGGCCTAAGTTACAGATATTTAGCTTGCACTTTGTAGTGTGACTGTTTCTAAGATGTAATCAGCTCCTAGTTGTCTCATATATGGAGAAAATGGTAAAAAAAAAAAAAAAAAAACCCTAAGACACCATCCTAAAGATGATTTAAGAAAACTATAAGCTTCGTCGGATCGGATACACCCACGTACACCCAGATACCGCCTGACAACATTGCTTGTCTCTACAAGGCAGCAAGGAGGACATAATACGAAGCGATTGCTCTAAATTTCTCCCCCTCTCTCCAGGCTTGCCTGTCCTGCCACCAGCAGATTCATCGTAATGCTCCCATCTGCCCATTGTGCAAGGCCAAGAGCCGCTCTCGCAACCCAAAGAAGCCCAAGAGGAAGCCTGATGAGTAGATCACACTCTACCTTCAGCTTCAGTAGCATTTAAGGGACCTGGTCCGACACACTGATCGGCCACGTACATCACACTATGTGACTGAAATAACAGATCTGTGCAGCAGGACAATTTCCACAAACAGTCCCCACTTTAACAAATTGTCTTAGTACCTTTTTTCATAAACTGTCGACTGAAATTTGACGGAGGATCCGGTGATGTCATTCTGTTGTTTGTTTTTATCAGTGCTTTGGATGTGTTTATATGTAACCGTATGACTTCTATAGTAGGTTTACTAGCATCTAAACATGTAACTGCAATAATGCGAAAAGGAAATTGATAAGATGTCCAAATAATTTTGTTATGTTTTTTTGCCTTTGATGTTGTACTGTACTTTCTAATTTTGTTTCAATGCATGCTTGCTTCCATGGCTGTCTGTAGTGTATTTCTGTGCCAATATAAAAATCAGATAGGTTTAATTGAAGTTAAACACAATGTTGTTTTAATGTTTACAGTGTTCAAGTGACCACACATGGGAGAAAAAAAGGCCAGACTCATTTGCTCTGAATAGTGTTGTGTGTTTAACTTTAATACAGTGATGAGAAAATAAATGGCTCTTTTGTACTAACCTTGTTAGCACATCCTTTTCTACACCCAAAACAAAAGCTAGACATTTGTGTTATCAGGCATTGTGAACATAAACACAGCTGTAGCTGAGCAGGACAACCGAGGACGCCACCATCAGCATATGGATTAGTGTTTATCGGGCAAATGGGTGGGTTTAGTCTGTGTGTCAAAATAAAGAGATAGGAACATGTTTGACTCCTCCACAACATTATCCCTGTCATTGTATTAATACTGCGCCCATCCTGCCTGCAGCTATCTGTCTGAAAAAGGACAGCGAGGTCTTGCTAAATGAGTTCCTGTAGCGTTTTTGTCAGGGTAACCCCTCCTTTCATCTGTTGCCAGGGTAACTCCACGTTCCTTAGGTGTTGCTAAGGCAACCCCAGGTTGCTGTGACCCGCACATCTCCACCAAGTAGTTCCTCCCAAATCCAGTGAGGGGCATCGGAGGGCTTTGAGAGATGTTGCACCAACTCCCACTGCCTCCACACTCCTGTAACACACAGATTAATATTTCATTCCTGTGAATAATTAATGTGATCAGCCGTATTGACGCAAATATTAGTTGGCAGCTGGAAACACAAGAGCTTGTAAGAGTTTGACAGTGTCACTTACTCCATAGCTCAAATGTGTGTTTAGTCTGCCCTTCAGTGTTTGGGACTGCAGTTGTGTCTCCTTCCTCTTGATAAAACTTGTCAAGGCCAGAGAAGCCTGTTCCTGCACACACTCAGAGCAGACAGCGGGATCATGGAGCTCCACCTCTGCAGCCTGCCACACAACATGCACACATTAACTGCAGAAACTGTGCAGGGTTTTCTATCGTGATTACAGCCCCCACGGTAGAAATGAGTCACACAAGAGCGTCATCTGACCCGCCTCATGTCCTCCTTTAAAGTTTTCAGCCTCAGCATTGAGATGAGTTGAGGGGGGACGGGCTGGACTCCGGGACCTTGACATATGAGACTGGGGGAGGTTTGGTCTCTCTGTGGTGTTGTGCAGTCTGGGAGAGGGAGGCTACATTCTCTGGGATGTCTAAACTCGTCCCCGGTTACAAGTTGTCTCTCACAGCCGCTCCTCTGTCTCCTCCTGTCCTCCTCTGAGGACTGGAGTTGCTGCTGTTTGTCTTGGACACGATGTATCATTCTTCTACAGTAGCTCCTTAGGGCTTCTTCCTCTTCCTCCGCCATGTTTATACAAAGCACAGCACAGTTTGGATCAGTTTTAAAGGGGTATCGTAACTTACTTAGTGACGTCACCTGCAAATTAAACAGCGGTCCAGTTTTTAATGGCTAAATGAGTCCCAGGGCCGAAACCAAGAGTTTCGCAACACCAGACAACTGGGAGTGAAATATGAAACGAGTTAACGAGATACAGAGGTCAATGGGAACATTGCTTTCCCCGTCATCAAACTGTGTTTATACGTCCTCTTCTTTTAGTGTTTACTCCAGCTGCGCTTCCTGCCATCAGTGAACTACTACCGCCATCTGGTGGTCGACAGGTGCACTGCAAGGGGAAGCACATGGACGTGTTTTGATTTATTCCAATTCATTGGTTTATGTATTTTTTTAAGGTTATAATTTTTTTTCAGTTTCACCCCATGTACACCAGAGGATGTCCAGCAAAATGTATCAGGACAGTAACCACGATTAAAAATACAAAAACAATGTGTAATACCAAATATAAAATGTGCAGTACAAAGATAATAAAAAACAAAATGTGCAATACTTAGACAACAAAAACATATGTACTTTTCCCTTTGAACCATCTTTTTCTCTAGAAAAGGGAGGTTCAAATAAAACTATGATAATTGCAATCGTATTTTTAATATTATCATTTAGAGGGAAGGTATAAAATGTCCATTCTTCCATTTTACATCCACGTACTCACCTTTTTGGCACAATATCATATATAGCAACATCAGTGCATTGCTTCCAAGTGATGTATTTCATATTCAGTGCTGTTTTGTGTCAGAATATATCCAGAAATAGACATTAAAACAAGATTTTAGATTTAGAATTTTTTAGATTTCTGATTTTGAAAATGTAAAAGATGTTAATTTCCAGCATTTAATCTTTAATAATTGTTGCAGTTTAGATGTTAAGTGCATTTACAATGCAATGCATAAATAAGTAAATAGCATTGTTGTTGTACAGTTGGTTAATAGTCTTATTTTCAGGATTCCTGAAGTTTGCATCAAAAGTAAATCTAAGTTACCCACATTTGTTTGTTCCATGTCTGTGTGCTCAAATAAATAAATAAATAAATAAAGTTTACTCATGTATTCCTACAATGCCAGGAATCTGGACTCTTGTGCCATCTGCTGAAAGAATGTGGTGTGTCACAGCCTCCCTTCTAAACATGGGACAGTCTGAAGACATGGGAGGGTTTGGCAAAGGAACAGCTGACTGGCTGCTCCTTTAAAGCCTCTGACAGTCACGCAGCTGACACACTGAAATGGCTGCCTCGGTGTGAATCGGGGAAGCAGGGTGATAGCGGGGCACATGCAGGCAAACTAACGGCCTTTCTCAGTGATAATTTGCCTTTATACAGTGGGGAAACCCAACAGTGCAGTTGCAGCCTATTTGACAAGCTGAAATAAAAAAAAATTGTGGTGAATTAGGCTTCTCCGTGTACGGCGACACAGAGACACAGACATCTCCATTTCATTTTTGTTTGTATTCAGGACACACTCACCAATCACAGACTGAGTGTCACACTCATATCACCTTTCTAATTATAAACCTGAGCCTTGACTCTCCAAGAATGGAAGTTTAGCCAGGCCCATCTGTGGCCTAAAATTAGCCCCCACCCCCCAGAAAGGAGCTCTGGCCCCCAGTACACACACACACAACACACACACACACACTATGCTGCACTTTTCACATTTCACAGTTCCTTTGGAAGCATCACAAACTCCTTGAGGACATTTCTGCCCTTCTCTCTTCCACGTGACTTATTATGGACTTTTAAAACTTCTGATATCTTGGAAATAACCTCAGTGAGCAACTCGTAGAGGTGAGTGTCTTGCTGCAGTAAGTTCCAGTTCATTGCTGTTGACATAAAACATGTAACTTTGTTTCTGCTGAGCAAACTCTGTGGGCATGTACAAGAGAAGCATTCATTTTTGTGTCTACAGGTAAAAAATACATACATGTATGGCTCTGAAGCAGTGCACATTATATCTACGTAGGTGGTGTTAATGTGATTTGTCTTACATACAGTAATTGTGTGTTGTAAACAAACTCCATAGTCTTACTGTACTGTCATGTTGAGAAATGCCAGTCTTTAATTTTCATGAAGGAATTTGTTCTGTTGAAATAAAAATCACGCCTAACAAAATATGACAAGAGTATGTCTGCTGTGTGTGTGTGTGTTTGGGTGCATTACCATCTCTCTCTGCCATTGCAGATGGAAGGGCTCTGACTTGCACCAGCCTGGGGTTACATTATGGTTCTGGGCCAAGCTGTCAACATGAGTTTGATGGACATTTCGAAGATTTTTTCCATGCTGCAGCCAAAGGAGGAGGATGAGGACAACGAACAGTGTCAGGCCCTGAACAACGCCGTGAGCAGTGACAACGTGACTCTGCTCTCTGAGCTCCTGTCTCAGGAGAGCTACAGGAGGTCTATCAATGCTCGAAGCGGGTGGGGGGTCCCAGTAACCCCCTTGCGCACTGCTGCTGCTCTGGGACACCTGAGGTGCTTGGAGTTGTTGTTGGAGCATGGTGCAGAGGTGAGATACAGAGAGAGCTTTTTGTTGTAGAGTTTTCAGATGAGGATGGTGAGATGGGTGTTTGAGAGCTGTGCCTGTTGGTGGGTGTAATGGACATAAGTATTCTTTTTAATAACCCAAATTATATACTGCACTCAGCCATCAAACATTTCGTTTAAAAACCCAGAAAGGTTCTTGGACTCTTCCTGCAGGTCTTTTTCATCTATTAAAAATGAAGAGTGAGAAAAGATTTTCACTTCATTCTACAGCACTGAAGCTGTACTAATCAATGTTTTAAATGAACAATGGATCCAATGGCGAAGTGTAATATGAAAGAAGTCACTGGTAGTGACATGCCCTCATAAGATTATTACCCAACTTTGCAGTTCACCTCAGGTCTACAGAATATTTTAGTGCCTTTAGGTTTTTGTTTTAGTTTTTCATAATTAATGTTGTTACCAAAAGAAGCAGGCAGCTATTTTTGGCAAAAAAACCCTCTGATAATCCCACTTCACACTACCTGACCAGTAATAAACAGCAGATGGGCAGTGACAACATATAGCAACCCAGTCGCCAGAATAAATGCTGGCATTATACATTTCTCCAAACCATGAATATGATAAAATGTGTTGATAGTGCTGTGGTTAACACTCTGTTATGTGTAGGCAAAAAACCCTTGGTTAAGGTTAGGAAAAAAACCCTATTTTGGCTTAAAGTGATTTTTTTTTTTTCATGTTGTTTTATTTTTGCCACAAACACAGTTAGACATGCCCCGCATTGCATTAAAAAAAATGCCCGGCTTTGTTGCAACAAACATGGCTGAAAATGTCCCAACACTACATTAAAAAATACCCAGTTTTGTCGTCACAAACACAGCTGGAAGCATCCCGACATTGTGCTGTAAAATACCCAGGTCTGTCAAGACAAACACAGTTTAAAACATCCTTACATTGTGTTAAAAAATTCCAGGTTTTGTTGCAACAAACACGGCTGGAAATGTCCTGACACTGGATTAAAAAACATCCAGTTTTGTTGCAACAAACAGGCTGGAAATGTCCCAACATTGCGTTAAAAAATCCCCGGTTTTGTTACAACAAACAGGCTGAAAACGTCCTGACTCTGGGGTTAAAAAACATCCAGTTTTGTTGTAACAAACACAACTGGAAATGTCCTGACATTGGGTTAAAAAACATCCAGTTTTGTTGTAACAAACACAGCTGGAAATGTCCTGACATTGCATTAAAAAACATCCAGTTTTGTGGTAACAAACACGACTGGAAATGTCCCAACATTGCGTTAAAAAATCCCCGGTTTTGTTGCAACAAACAGGCTGAAAATGTCCCGACATTGGGTTAAAAAACATCCAGTTTTGTTGTAACAAACACAGCTGGAAATGTCCTGACATTACATTAAAAAATATCTAGTTTTGTTGCAGCAAACAGGCTTGAAATGTCCCAACATTAGATAAAAAAATACCCAGTTTTGTTAAAACAAACATGGCTGGAAATGTGCTGACATTGGGTTAAAAAATACCCAGTTCTGTAACCACAAACACAACTGGAAATGTCCCGATATTGCGTTAAAAAAATACCCGGTTTTGTCGCAACAAACACAGCTAGAACTGTCCTGACATTGGGTTAAAAACTACCCAGTTTTGTGGGCACAAACACAGCAGGAAATGTCACTGGTCTCAAACAGTGGTCTGCTGCATGGCAGCTGTCTTGCGTAGGTCTCCTCCTAATGAGAAACTCAGCTCATATACATGTAATTTGAACTATGTCTTAGTAGAAATGTTGATCTGATACTGTGAAATGTACAAATGTAACATATCTTTTGTTTACAGAGATGTGCAATCCCAGCATTTTGTTCTGTTGACTGGGCTGCAATTAGTTAGGGAAACAGCGGATCATTCAGCCGTTACAAAGCCGGATATTTCCCTCAGGAGTGTGTAAAGATTGAAACTGAGCTAACAGGAGAGTGAACATTGGACTTAAAGTCATTGGTTAAATAAATAAATTCTCATTTTGCTTAGTGTCATGTGGATTTTTAAATAGGGAACTCTTTGCTAACTTGAGAGGTGACAGTTTGTCTATGTTGTGTTCACAGCCAAACAAAATCAATTAAAGCATCTTTTATGATACAGAGTGCACATTAACGAATAGAAATGACAGTTTGTCAGGAATGTTTCCAACGTGTTTGTGTGTTGCTGTTTAAATCCAGATTGACAGCTTGGATGTGAAGGCCCAGACGCCTCTGTTCACAGCTGTTAGCGGGAAACATCTGGACTGCGTGGTTGCTCTGCTGAAGGCCGGTGCTGATCCTAACGGCAGCCAGTACAACAACTGCTCCCCGGTGCTGACTGCAGCCCGGGAGGGGGATGTAGATGTGCTGCGAGAGCTGTTGCGCTTCGGAGCCGAGGTGGACGTCAGGCCCAAAGTCCCAGAGTGGGCCTCCAATGCCACAGCCTGCAGAGGGCCCCTCTATATCTCAGCTGTTTACGGACACTTGGACTGCTTCAAACTGCTCCTTCTCCATGGGGCCAACCCCAACTACAATTGCACAGACGAGAAGATGCTGGCCAGGATAAAGCAACCAAAGACAGTCCTGGAGGTGTGTCTGCGTTATGGCTGTGGGGTGGAGTACATCCAGCTTCTCATAGACTTTGGGGCGGACGTGTATCTGCCTACACTGATCATTGACAAGACTACAAAGCAGAATGAGGCTCTGGTTCTGCTGCTCAAAGAGAGAGGTGAGACACTGATTATAGTTTAATCCAGTAAGCATTGACGAGATGTGTCAAAATGTTAACCCGCATTTATTTGTCTGTGTCTGCTCCAGTTTGCCCCAAAACACTGATGTCGCAGACTCGGCTGGTAATTCGAAGATACCTCTCCTTTGCCGATAAAGCGCCTGCCATTGATAGTTTGGGTGTTCCTCTGATCCTGAGGAACTACCTGAAGCACAACACCTCTGAACTCATATGATGCTCATCTTAGCATCAGAATATATGGCCAGTGACTTTTTTTTTTTTTTTACCTCATTGCTTTACACTCATGACTGGAATATTAATCTCTGGCTTTTTCCAAAAGTAGGGCAACATAACGAACACTCACACGAGGATCACTGTGCTGTCCCACTGCTATAAAGTCTTGTTTTTATTATTTATACATTAAGATTGAAGTTTGTGACTACGAATAGATGTATTTATTAAATAGCTTAAAGGGAAAGTTCACCCTAAAATCAAAAAATACAGATTTTTCCACTTATCTGTGGTGCTATTTATCAATCTACATTGTTTTGTGTTGGATATATTGGCCAGAGATATGCCATCTACCTCCACAATATTGGAGAGAAGGCAGACATCTCTATGGCCAATACTATCAACACCCAGCAACTCACACCAAAACAATCAGGACTGAAAAAAAGCACTACAGGTAAGAGAAAAAATATGTAGTTTTGATTTTGGGGTGAACTGTCCCTTTATGTTTAAAAGCCTATTTCAGGTTGTATTGAAGCTTCTTTGTCACACACAGGACTCATGAAGGGCTCCATGTTGGAAACTCTGTCATGTCCTTGAGAAGTGTAACACCATGACTGACCACTAGAGACCACAGTAACACTGTTTATTGCTCTTGTCCAAATTTGATGCCTCTCATTTGTAGTTTTGAACATATGTTAATGCCTCTTTGCAGCACCCTTAGTTCTGTCCTTCTCACAGGTAACATTACATAACCACACACAGTCTCACTTTATTCATTTAGACATCAGGACATAACTGGAGAGACACACACAAACACACACGGAGACAGTGTCTGCAACGCACCAGGGTGCCTTAGATCTTGCCTGAAAAACATTCTTGCATCTGTGGACTTCAAAACATTAGGAAGCGGAGTGATCAGCCTACACTTCAGCACGGCCAACTGGGAAAAATATATTTGCATAAGTCTCATTACTTATTGATTACAGCATAGTTATTTCCAGGCTACAATTTGTGGTTGCAAGTTTGTTGAATTTCTTCTTTTGTGACTTGTAAACACCGGCCCGATGACGTTATTATCCTGTCTTTTTACTTCCTTAAAGCTCTCTTAAGTAATGCTTCCAGAAGTTAATGTGTCAGCAATTGGGAATGAGAGGCCTACAAACAGGAAATGATGTCAAAAAACAGGAAACCTGGCACAATGCTCCCAGTCACACATCGATGCCTGGACACGCAGTTCTGTAGAGGTTTTATTTTCAACAAAAGTACAGCTATATCAGATATGGATTTATTTTTTACAGCGAAGTACAACATATTCCCAGTGCTTCTGATTACATCAAAACATATAATGTACATACAGTTGACATCTCCACTCTCCCATTCACAGTTTCTGGATTGAATAGGCATTATTTTTCAGGTTTTTCATTTCTACAACAAATAATCAAACTCAAAAAGGCCAGCAAGAAAACAAAATGACAAATGTTTGCATATGGTGACGAAGGATATGGATACTGTAAGTAAAATTGTTCTGTGATAGGCAAAAATCCAGACCTCAAACTAGATGGTAATATACAATGGATAGATTCCAAAAGTGGGATGTTAGTCTTCTGTTCACCTTGTTGTCATTGAACACCACATCAATATATGGCTCATTGAAGACTCTGTTGTACCCTGACTATTCTGAAACAACACAGGACTGCAGAACCAACTGCTGAGGAGTTCCTACTGAAGATGCTGCTATGCTAAATGTGAGTGAACGCTGTTAGCGGCTCATGTACACCCTGGAATAAAAAGGAATTACACAAATCTGAGCAACCTCTGATGCATCCAATTGACAGTCTGCTAAGTTGGCTGTCTTGGTTTGACGACTGGAAAGAGAGAGAGAAATAAAATCTTCCACACAGAAGGCTGTCCTCTCAGCTCTCAGTACAAGGTCAGAATGATAATTATATAAGAAAAATAAAACCAATATATACACCCTTTTAACAATGTGGCCAAAATGGTAACTATTTAATACTGCATTCAATAAATACAAGTGAGGAATTAATTTGTACTGTCAAGTCATTGTATTTCAAAGAATCAATTCTTAAGTAGAAACAAGAGCATGATATGAATTGCAATGAAGTGCTGTGTGTGTGTGTCTTCAGGATTATGTTTATTTTTAGCTCATCCCGAGAGGTTTCTCATTTATTCAGCTCTTCTGCTCGACTACAAATCTATACACAAACACCCATGATCAGTGCTAACTCCTATTTGGTTCACTGTTGTCATAGAAAAATCATACCCGTTTTGCCTCAGCGGTTAATGGCGTTCAAAATAATAATAATAACAATAACCAGCAGTTTGGACCATGACAGTGCAGACTGGAGTTTAAAAAACAAAGTAAGGATTTAAAATAAGTTTATAGTGCCCAATATATCTGGGCAAAGAGAGCATTAGTGCCTTTCATTTCACCTATCAACAGTTCAGTCTTTGATTCAGAGTGAGGGAAGCTGCTCCCCTCTGCTTGGTAATAAATAAAAACAGAAGCTACAACCTGTAATGTGCAGTGAGCAGGAGACAGGTGGACAGAGAAAAGAACTCCCTTTAGTGAGATGGTACGGGCTCACAAATGAATGGTTCCGCGGTGTGGAAAAAAAAAAAAGAAAAGAAAATCCCATTGGAAGTTAAATGAAACTAAACAATCTGTTAAGATTTGTCTAAGGTCTCATGCAAAATATTGGATGCCACGAGCATGCATTTTACCTGGTACTGAGGTCTACCGCACGCTAGAACTGGAACAACATTCGTCTCCAACGCAAAATACCAATATCCAAATATATGATCTGTTCTTTTTACATTATTTACAGTGTGTAGCTGATAAAGGTAAAATAGATGATTCTTCTTTTGATTCATAACTCACTGTTAATAATATACTTTGAAAAGTGCAACCTAACTTGACTAATGAAAATGTGTTTCCTACTATATATTCAAATGAAACCCATCTTTCAGCATGTTAAATAGATAACAATAAAGGAACTCTATGTGGTTTCTAAACGTCTGAAATTAGATTTAACTTCTTTTTGTGCAATAAAATTACCGCTATGTACGTGTGATATAATATCATAAGGTGTGTTTCAGTCAGACAGCACAGTATCTACTCATATGGAAAAGGCCCTGACCTCTAAGTTTCTGTCCGAGTGGGTCTCATGCACTGGGGAACGAGGAATTCCCAGTGTGTGTGAGAGAAAGAGAGAGAGAGAGAGTGAGAGATGCAAGTCCCACACTGAAGGGAAAATACATGACTAATTCAAATCTGCCTGTGAAACTGAATAGATAATCACTAGTGGAATGCTGGAAGGCACTGTTAGATAGCATCTCTCTTCTCCGCAGCAGAACGGGCCAGCAAGTGCGCGTGGTTGTGTCTGTGTGTGTGCCTGCGTGCTTGTGTCTGTATGTTGGTGGTGGCGTGGAGCAGGGGAATGCAGGGTTGAGGGAGTGGGGGTGGGCGTAGCATGGGACCTGAGGTTATCATGGCCTGGGAACCATATCTTTTTGCTGTGCCAGACCTGGGAATTATCTTCCAAAACAATCTCACTGGGAGCCATCTCTACAGACACCAGCAGCCAACTCACCCATTTCTCAACTTTCTTTACTGAAACAAAACATAAATTACACAACATACAAAGCAAGTCTAAGGTCTTTTTTTTCTCCAATAGGTTATAAGGCCTATAAGAAGGCAAACAAATGACATAGAACGATATATAACTCTTTCATATCACGTTGTAGTGAATAGTGAAGATATATAATGATATATCACATTGCACAAAGTTGTCATACTGTATATGTACTGTCCATCAGGTGATATAAGTCAACACAAAATGTACTTCTGAGGTCAAAATATGATCACAAACCATGGACATGTGTCACTTACATTCCAACTGTAAAAAAGAATATACCTTCATGATGTGTGTAAAGCAGTAGATCTTCTCTAACACCTCTGTTGAAGTAGCATATGGCAGGATCTCGCCCACAGCAGCTTCGGGGACATTGTTGATTAAACAAATCAATCTGATCAGGCCCACAGTCCTCTGTAAATCACTTAAACTGTGCCGAGCTAACTGCCAGAACATGGATCAGATCTGGGAAAACAACGGGAGAGGAGTGCCAAGATTTGAAGCTGCAGTCTTAAGAGATGCATGAATCTGTCAGAGGACACCTGCATGCTACAGATTAAATTCACCTTTTTGCCTCCCTATGGTGTTGGCTCACACTTCTGCAGTGTACTCTCTTTCAGTGCTGACTCACAACCGACTGCTATGGTTGTCCTGTTCATTTTTAATTTCTGCCATCTTTTTGACCGTTTCCCCTTGTGCTGGTTAAGGGATCTTTCTAATTTCTCACACTGTGGCATGTTTGCATCAAAATGCACTCCTCAAACTGAAAATGTGCTGTGCTTTTTTTTTCCTTTTTTTTTCACAATGTGAGCAATGCAAAATAATTAAGTCAACTGAGGGAGTTTTTTTTCTTCTTTGACAGCTGACGTGAAAAAAGAGATATTATTTTAGACCTTGGCCAAATGTTTCAACTTCACTTTTTAGCTCTCAGCGGATCTCCGAAGGTAGGCTGTTCTCTTTCCAAACACCCAGTGAGCTGCCAGCACAGTGCTACAGGGGTGGTCTCTGGGGAGAGTGGGGGAGGGGCTCTGACACAAGGCAGGTGGACCGCGGCCTGCCTATCTCCTGCTCCCAGCTGTTTCATCTGAGCGGCGAACTCTCTCGTCAAACGCAACCCACAGCCCTTCGGCGTGATCGGTTATGAATACCCTGTCAAAAGTGGTTGGTGAAAGGATGTAAATATTCTATTGATGTTCCGACTACTGATTTGTTCCCTGACCCATCGTATCATGACCAATGGCAGGTTTCCAAAAGAATGAAGCTCTTCCTCTGAGAGCCGCTGACTCACAGAGGCTGAGCAGGTGGGTAGAGCGATAGAGAGGACAAGAGAGGGATGCGGAGAGTGAGGGAAACACTGCGAACGTCAGATGTGGTGAAGAGAGGGCTACTATATGTGAACAGCTAGAGAGAGGAACACTTGAGCGCTGAGAGTGAGGAAGGAGATCCAGACATCAGTAGAGCAGAGATGGGCCTGGCTGGTCTGTGATCAGCGGCAGAATGGATCTAACTCAGAGGTGACGCCGACGGTCGAGCTTCATGGGTCCTTCAGACGCCACACCCAGTGGCTGAGGCCTGTCATTATTATCTCACATTCAGAAGAATGCAACACGCAATCTCACATAGCAGCACAGCAAGATCTCAGCTTTTTTTTCTCTCCAACACAATCATACAACTAGGAATGCCCTGGCTTGGCCTTGTGTTTCTCTCCAGGTGATGGATTAAAAATGAAATAATATAACAATCTAAATAACTCCAGGACATTCAGATGGCGTGATGATGCAGAATCCGAGGGAAAGAGTTCATGATGGTTGACTCAGCTGGAGAGGCGTGATAACTAAGAACGTTACTAACATATATGAATTGTAAAGTTTTATTTTTTTTTCTCAATTTTTTTTTTTAAATCCAAGTCTTCAGTCCTCTTGCTGCTTCCAATCTATATTAACAATGGTCCTTAATTTCAAAAGTCTCATGTGTATGTTTTTTCGTATTTTTCTTCATCATGGGGACATGATCATCCAGTGTTTAGTGCTTCTAAGAAAAATAGCTGGTCCTTCAGAAGAGTCTGTGTATCTCTATTTCTTAAATGGAGCTAATCTACTAAAATTCTGCCAGAAAGGAGCCTGGCCTCTTTTGGATTGACTGAATTCAAAAACCTCTCCTTGTGCCATGTCCTCCGTTACCTCATACTGCCCCGCACTGAGGGGGTCCTGGGGGGGCGGGTATGAGGGGGGCGTGCACCTGTTTACACCTAGGAAGGCAGGTGCAAAAAGAGCAAGAAGGGAGAGAGGGGTGGGGACAAGGAGGCAGTGCAGGGCACAAAGCGAGAGAAAAAGAAGGGAGGTGGATAGCAAACAGGAAACATTGTCAGTAATGTATCTCAGACACACACAACAACACAACACCGAGTCATGCTTCCAAAGAAAACAGGCACATAGACATACAAAATGAGCCTTCAGTGCTAACATTCCTGCATATTAAACCTGAGATATGATACAACATGATCATATGATGACAGCTGAATTAGGAGGAAAGTGGAATTCAGCTATAGCGATGACACAAGGGAGACTGAAGATGCTATTCAATCAAACTCTGTAGCAGGCAAACAAGAGAACCAACAGATTACATCGGATACAATGATGAAACCAGGCATTGGGACAAGGGACATTGTTCTTCCATGTTTGTTGACAGCGTGTTTGTTTGAATAGCAACCTCGACACTTGAGAACACAAGAGTGGCGAAAATAGAGCCAACAGAAAGCTGTTAATATGCACTTAACTACAGTCTACAATGTCATTGAGCTACAGTCTACAAGCATCACAACTATGCTAGTGCAATTAAAATTAGATACAATCAATATTTGGAGATGAAATATTCAAAAGTTGCCATGGCATCTTGGAAGAAGAAAATGAAAAGATGAGGAACAGTGTCTTTTGTTGGGGGGGGATATTTTGCCAAACACTGTTTTAGCAGTTAGAAGGGTTTGATCTATTTGTGTTAGAGGAACCTGTTTATCTTGGATAGTCAAGATAATGCTTGTAAACGGATTGGACTGTGACTGCATGCTCCAATGCCAACGTTAATCACAACACCTCCCAATGCTGCTTAGCAGTTGCCATGGCATCTTATTGTGCTAGCTCTAAGGAGAACTCTAATGCATATACCTTTATCATTTTCAAACCATGTCCATACAACATGGCCCTCTTTCTCAAGATGAAATCTATAAATGAATCTGAAATTCAAAAGAGTACTTCACCTTGTGCCAGCCATGTACACATACAGCACTTAGAAACACACAACATATACTTCTGACAGACATCTACAGGGATCCTATTGTCAGAGAGAACATTCCAGCAGTGGTCATTGGTTAATTAATACCTTAATGGATGGTTACATGCTTATTGTGAAACTGGCAATAGCAAGAACATCAGTAATGGTAAATGTACAAACATCTAGCCTAGCACTAAAATGGCTAAATCTTAAAGGATGATACCAACCGTTTCGGACATGTGGGTCCTCTGTCTGATGGTCTGTCAGGAACGAGCACCTTGATGAACTTGTTTGACATGTTTTTCTGTTACCGAGATAGGTGGAAGCTGTCGGAGATAACAGTATTCTGATACTTCTGGATTTAAAACATAACTTATTAAATTAAAAAATTAGTCAAAGTAACATGATTACCCTGATGGTGTAATGTTCCACTGTGCTGGATTACACAATGTAAAGTAAAGGCTACTTGTTCTACAATTTAGATGCTGTTATTAATGGAGCTCTACACAATATTCAGAACGTGTCTATAATTTAGAGGTTGTCTGCAGACGGCTCTCAACATTGAGGTGGCTGAGCCAGTGGCTAGCTGCTAATGGTGCAAACAGCACAAACAACTAGCTAACAAAGGCAACAAGTGCTGAAAGAGCTAACTGTGCTAAGTGGGTACACTTTTGCGCTATAAACTATATGAAATAACAGATGTAGCCACTGTGGCGTCACCTGTTGGTTTGTGGACTCCTGTTTTGTCACCATCTTGCACTATTAAAGTCAGAACTGACCATATTTGAACAAGAGGTGGAGCTGAAGAGAAGCAAGGGGTTGATCAGATTCATAAGCCCCATTTCCACCAAACACTATGGTACCTTTGGAATCAAAGATAACCCTTCAGACATGGTACCTAGACCCTAGGTCTGCTTAGCATTTCCAACGCAAACAGTTGTGTGAGTGGCGTTGTTGTCATTCACTGCTCCGTCCAGCACTCACTGTATTTCCTGATCACCAGTGACACAGAGGGAAGTCTGCACCTCGTTTATTGTCCACAGAATGAGGCTGCACGCCAACATTTTCAGAACAAAATAGAACAGGCTGCAGTGAGAGTCTCTCGGGTTTGTGCATTTAGTCCTTCTCAGGCAAGCTCATGGGTTTGTTGCTGCCGGAGCCCACAGGAACTACACTGCACGATGCTTTCTTTTTTCTCCGAGTGAGGATTGGGATATAGGCAGTTCACATAATACATATTTTTAAACGCTTAAAGATCCACTCATTACTAAAAGTGGTATGTCATCAAAGAGAGACAATAAAAACTAAATTAACGGTCAAAGATGTAATATTGAAATTAAAGGTGTGTTGATGGATTCACGTCATCAACTTACACACTGAGTAACATAACAAGTAAATGTTCCACCTTAAAAGTTGCCGGCAGTTGGCCCAGTGAATGAAGTTATTTTTTCTCAGACTACAGCTGCTGCCTCTTGCAAACGATGACAACTTGTCATCCAAAGTGGCCATGCCCTTAATTATGCATAATTTTAAGCCTAAATAAAATGTAAATGGGTGACTTACATAAAAATACCCCCTCCCCACTTGAGCAGGGAAATTAGCTATAGAGATCAAAAATATATTTTTTTGTACCAGGCTTTAACATGTTTATTTCTGCTGTGAAGCCTTTTAGTGTAAGCACAGTGCAGAGCAGTGGCGGTTAGCTAGCCAGTGGCATACACACAGGACTCACATGCACTAACATATTCGCACAGCCAGACTATCTACCTCAGCAAAGAACAGAGTAGCTCAGATTACAACACATAACGAGGTAGCGTGACTCCATAACTCCCCTACATCTTCACATATATATATTAATGCTATGTTGTACACAGAACCTGAACTAGGAGAAAGAAAATAAATCACCTATAAAACACCTGTGCACATCAGAGGTAAGTATAAACCAAAAATATTTTTGCTTAGGGTATACCTTGACATTCTGGATGTGAATTGAAGTAATAAGCACCGACAACCCCCCTAACTCAGTAAAAGAAAAAATGCAAACAGTTGTCTGAGGTGTGAAATTTGTTCGAGACAAGCGTGACACAGGACCCACATGTCATGAACACCGGTATCACCCTTTAAACTCAATACTTCATGCAAACAGCCCTCTGTCTTTTCATTGATGCTTAACAGCTGCTTTACAACTCATATCAAATCATCCTTGTGTGACGGCCGACAGACATTTAACTCAAAGGAAAAATATTGAAAGTAATATAGCGAGACGACATGAATCCACGTGACTTTTCTAGCTTACTCAGTACACAGATAGTCTAGGTCCATTCATAAACAAAGTAGGCATGTTTAAAAAAAGGTGTAGAAAGTAAAAAAAGAGAGCAGGTTAAGAAGTAAAGAGTAAACAGCGATGAGAAGACAGAGCACACCAACGAGGAAAAGAAAAGGGAAATCACCTGATATCTTCTTGTTGCCTCACCTTTCTGTTTGGTCACCTTTCTCACTGTCATGGCCGCCTGCCGCTTCTGGTACTCAGAGATCTCAAAACCTAAACAACAAACAGTAGACTATTTTTTTTACAAGTTTTACATTAAATGCAAAACCTACTTTAATCCCAGTAATACCATGTGTCCTATGTTGTGCATGTAGCATGTCAGCTATGGCTTTACTGTTGCATACATTACACAGGGAATTCATGTTTTGTGCTTAAAGAAAGTCACAGTGTGCTGCAGCAAATGCAACATGTAACTGGAGCTCCACTGGCCATTGTGAATGAAACTAATGCTTTCCAAACAGGGAGGTGCAGAGAGGTGCGTGACTAACCGATTTTCTCATCCTCCTGCACCATCTTCCTCTCCTCGTGGAAGGCCCTGAGCCAGCGGATCTTCTCCTCTGGCTTCTTGGCCAGGAAGATGTGGATCTCCTCGCTGTCTTTGTTGCACAATTTGAAGGCATTCTTCACGCTGACGTTAAAGTCGTCGTCGCGCCCGTCTATAGCGTCCCGCACCTCGTAGCGATCCATGTCGATGCGGCCCTTATAGTACAAGATGTCCCGGCGTATCAGATCCTGGGGAAGAGGAGGAGGGGAACGTCTGTTAGCCTGTGCATGTGTGTGTGCTGAACCTTAGAGGTGTCAACAAGCATCCTTCCCTTGGTATCCTGAGAGCCTGCCTTATGTAACCCTTTCCATCTGCTGCCCAAACATACAAACACCTTCTACACACACATTGCAGGATGCCAAATTTCTCTGCAAAGCTGCTTGACATATCATAAACGGTAGAAAGTGCTATTTCAACAATGGCAAATATACTAGTTTATTAGATACAGCGGTAAAATTTAATGCACAACAACGCTGCAAAAAAAAAAAATCCCATCGTTGTGATGCTTGTAATGGTCAGTTTTTGATTACACCTCACCCAAGACTCCTGTTATTGGTTTTGCTGTATTGGACCACAGGGCTGCAACCAAGGATTATCTTCATGATGATTATTTTTTTGATCAGTCACTTGGTCAGAAAATGTGCAAAAATGTCTATCCCAGTTTCCCTGAGCACAATGTTACACATATCTGCCGAATTTGAGACCTCAATAATAGGCAGGATTCTCTGGTGTCCTCTTCCAGTAATATTTAAGTTCCAGAGACTTTGTTTCCTGAATTCTAGCGACTTTAATTATTAATATAATTAAAATTACAAACTAATAAGTATTGCAAAATCCTATTCTTTATGTTAAATACATATCGTTTTGTTTAGTTTTTTTGGTTCATGCCCCTGGTACTCCAGCAGAGCACCAAGAGGAGGAGGCCAAGGCCGTAAGCTTGTCCCGTGCCAGGGACCTACAGCCGGCTGTCCTTCCTGGCCCACACCTTTGGGTCCTGGATTTGTAAGCGAGGTGGAACAGGAGGCTCACGGCCTCTGGAGGACAGCTGGGTACTAGGGGTGTAAATCACAAGTTTCATCTTAATCCGATATTATGTTGAGTCTTTGGACAATGATAAAATATTTGCTGATCTCACAAAGACTGCAATGATACAATTTTGATTTGATTCAATTCACAGGCCTGCGATCAATATGAGACAATATCAGTAAATATCCTCTCAGTCTTTTTCTTGGCTGCTTACCATTGTCTGCCTGGCACCAGACTGCTAGCACTGTTTGAATGTTTAAGAAGGAGGTGTGCTTGGACGGAAAAAAGCTGACAATTGATGTTTTCACTTTGCAATGATGATACTGAATCGTAGATCATTAAACCGATATATCGATCCAGATCATTGTAACGTTACACCCCTACTGGGTACCCTGTCATGACGAAAGACGGCAAGCTGGTTCCCAACAACCCCCCCCCCCCCCCCCCCCCCCAGGCACCCTCAAACCCACACATGCGTAACACAGTCAGCACGGAGATGAGGTGTCCACAGGCAACTGTGCCTGACTCATCTGGGCCTTTCGGGTGCCCCTCTGGCCCCGGAGTGTTGATAAATGTGGAGGGAAGCGCCAATGGGGAGGAAACAGTAGGCTTTTACAGTTGCGGGAGGTTCCATGCTACACAGTGCCACAAACAGGTAGTCATAACAAAAAGAAAAAAAAAGGAGTGAAAATTCGTCATTAATCGGGAGAAATAAGGTAGAATTGTGACCCTGGGAGGAAAAAAAAACAGGAGTTTCCCAGGAAAATCGGAAGTTGGCAAGCATGATGTCATATCCTCAAACAACTGTCCAACAATCCAAAAACCTGACTAATATCTGCAGCTCTATTGTACCGCATTGTATCCAGAAGTGTTTTTCTAATATTCTGTCTACTCCATGCAGTCTAACACCACCACAGTAACTAGGTGTCTTAGACATGCAGTGTGCAATCACTCCCGTGTTCACTCATTCACTACTCCCTATATATTGGACTTTCAGTGTGTCAAAAGTGAGCAATAAATGGAAATTTCAGACACTTACTTATCATCATCATTTTGCACTGACAGCTGTAGAGACACTCAACAATAATTTTCACATGTACAGTGTTAAATACGAGGCAGTGCTTTGTGAGATTGTTTCACTGTGGAAGTTTTGAGGGCACTATGTAGTGGATAAACTTACTGAGACTTTGCACACTCGAATAAAATGGTGGACAATAAATATAGTGCACTATGTAGTAGATAAGGAATGATTTTGCACACAACCTCAGTGTACAAGACACATTAGAAATACAGAAACACACCAGTATCTGAAACTAGAACTGTTAATTTAAAAAGTGGTTAAGTCTCTCTTTCAGCTTCTAGGTTAGCCCATTAAATACACAAAAAACTATAAATAATTAATTCATATTTTTCAACTACACCAGTACAGGGCAGCATCTAGCAGTTATTTTCTTCACTGGTTAATCTCCAAATAATTTTTTGATTAACTCATTAATTCTTGGACTATAAAATGTTAAAAAATGCAACACATCTGATCACAGTTTTCTCAAACCAGAGGTGACACCTCTTAGACATCTGACTGTCCAAAATACAGTTATTCACTTTACTAATACATAAGACGAAAAAAGCAAACCCTCACATTCCTGATGATTAAATAATCACCAGAATAATATAACTGCGCCAGCTTTACAGCAGTCCATCAACCACAAGTAACCTTACCCTATGTAACTTCACGGAAATAAGATGGCCAAATAATAATAAAAAATCCTCATTGTGACCGCTGCCTCAGGACAGAATAACATCAAGTCACTCTATAAGGTCAAGCAAGGTAAAAAGAAAAAACAAGAACGGGCATCTTTTAATAAGCATGCAGAGACAAATCTGCATCTGTGTGCTGATAAGGAAGAGATGAGCGGAAAAAATGGAGGGCTATATGCAACGTTTTACTAATACACCCTGAGGACTGCCATTACACATGTTGTACTGAGGATGCTGGGGAAGGATGTGTGGAGCAAAGACTAGGTTGTATAATTTAGTGCATCTCAGAGCAGAGTTTATTTAGTGGACAAGATCTGGAGTTCATTTCTGGAGTCAAAGATGTTCAACAATGATAGAAGCAGGGAAGATGAGGACAGATGGCAGGACAGAAAAACAGAAAGACATTATATCCGTGTGTCTTTGTTAATGTTTTCTGTGTTTATCTGTGTAATGGCGAAATTACAGCATCTCTGTGTGTACACGTGTGTGTGCGTATAATGATGCCGTTCTCCAGCCTCCGTGTGTGTTTGTGTGCAAGTGTCTGTCCGCATTTGTGTCTGTGTCTCCGTGTGCATGTATTGTCGAGTCTAGCCGAGCGTGAACATCCGTCTGACAGGAGAGCACAGCCTCGGTGCATTAGAGCCCAAACTACCACAGCTCCATTTTGTGAAAGGTGCTGAGGATTTGAACGTGTCTTCACTGAGGGCTGGTGCGTCTCATAAGGTGTTATGTAATCTATTTGCAGCTCTCGAGTAAGGTTGAAGAAGTCACATTGTCTTCAGGCGTCTCCGTCACCAGCCATGTGATACACAGTTTTGAAGAGCAAAGGCTTAGGGTGTGTTTTAGCTTATCAGCTTGTTTTCAGCTGACAAGGTCTTCAAAAAGGAAAGAAAGTAAACAATGAGAGAGAGAGAGAGAGAGACTACCTTCTTACAGAGGACCAGCTGGTGATCAAAGAGGAAGAAGACTCGCTGCTGACTGCGTCCATACGGCTGATAGATCCATGACAATTCCCCAGTGTAGATGAGCTCCGAGCTCCTGTCCAAGATATCATCTCCCTAGAAACACAAACACACTTTATGAGTGACGATACTCACAGATAAAACTGTGGAATGAAGCAACTCCACCTATTTTACACATACAGTAAAGCTCAGTTTACTCATCATGGTTAGTACGTCTTAGCCTGTGAACACAGTGTATCCCGTGGCTATGAAGGAGCTTTTTCAAGTCTGAGAAATTGACCATGATGATGTCATAGTAATGTCATCAGGTGTAAATGTAAATGTAAATGAAAGCTTACTTTTCAAAGTCTAAAAGACATGACTGGTTACCATGCAGGGGAAGTCTAACAAAAAACACTGTCAATTTGCATTATGGGCAATGTAGGATCCAGCATTTTTGGAGCTTGACCCATACTCATCAGTACAGCTTAGGATATCTTGACCTCTGCTGCATTGATTTTGACTGTTGTTTAATTTCCCATGTGTCTCTTACAAGCATTAAAACGTTGTGAACCTGCAAAACTAAATTGCTGGACTACTCTATTAAAGGGTAAGTCTGATATTTTTCAACCTGTTCCCTATTGTCCCATGTTTCTTTGTCTAAGTGACTAATGGGAAGAACATTAATTGAAACTTATCTAATATTGAGCGAGAGCACTGCAGCCGGCAGTAGTGAAACAGACTGCAATGTCAACACTCAGGGCATGTCCACTAAAAATGCTTGCCTTTGCCACTGACAGGCTCAGATTGTTAATATAAGTGTATGGCAATTAATGAAATGGATCCCTACAGAGATAAACCTTTTGTTAAATAATAACATTCTTTCTGTTTAACCAGAAACAGCTCCAAAATCGTCAATGCGAAACTCACCAGACTCCATTTAAATAAACAGTAATTCTATCATCAAGGAACACACTTCATTTAAGTAAACAGAAACATAATATCTCTCATAAAACAATGTCTTGGTTCTTCTCTCCACTGTTCCAACAATCACCAACTAGGGTTTAGTTGAAAAAAACCCTAATACACCCAATTAGATCTGAAAATATGCTGGCTCTATACGTGCTAAAATTAATGTTTATTTAAAAGGAGCCTGGTGGGTTCGGTGGTGGCAATTTCAGGGCTGTTTCTGGTTAACCTAAGAGGATCGTACTCTCTCTTACTCTTTAACAAAAAGATCAACTCTAATGTCAGACACCAAGAATAACAATCTGACCCTGTCAGTGACAAAACCTAGCACTTTTAGCGGACAAACATTGACAGTGAGAACATTTCCCAAGTGGTTACACTGCAGCCTGTTTTCACCACAGTCTTGCTCAATATTGAGCAATTTCAAAAACTGTTGTTCCCATTAGTCACTTAGACACAAAATCACAGGAGGATAGGCTCTAGGTGAAAAATGCTCAATTCACCCTTTAATCTGAAAGTCAAATTTGACAAGATGTCCTTTTTGTTTGTTTAAAAGACTAACAGTTAAGGAATTAAAGGAGTGATTTGGAATTTTTAAAGCAAACCAACACTAAATAGACGTTTTCTTTAAAGACATACTATGCAGGGTTCACTTAAAAAAATGTATCGACTCACACAAAGTAATCCCTCTCAAGCATCACGTATCACCCACCAGAAGTGTGTGGCAGTGTGTTTTACTGCAGAGACTCTGCCTTCTTCCTGTTATTTTCTTATTTGCTGTGTTTGGGATGTTTTTGGGTGTTTTTATGGGTGTACCCCCACAGGTTGGGACTTAATAAAAAGGTAGTGACCAGGTGCCACACTGTCAGCAGTAAGCATCTGACAGACACAGCACTGACATAACAAAAACACAGCCAAACAAAACGTCAAACGAGAGCAAACCTGAGGCTGGCTTTTACTTTCACTTTTGCTGGTGAGCGTGTTTGCAAACAGCGACACACAATCCTGCATTTTATACCTTTGAGTAAACTTCAGGTTGTGTTTATATTTAGTGAGAGATATATGGAGTAAAATTTAAGTTCCATCTCCCTAGGCAATATGTGTGACTAAACAGATTGACTAAACAGACCAAGCCAGATTTTGCCAGTAAAACAACATCAGTAGACATCAGATGCTTGCAAATGACTCCGCAGTCAATACATACACATACCTCCCAGTCCAGAACAGAGGCTTGCCACTGGGCGATCTTATCGATGTTCTCCAGTCTCCTCTTCCTCTCGTTGATCTGCTGAGTGACGTTCCGCATTACTGCCAGTGCTGCTGCCACGTATCGATAATCACTACGGACACAGTGTATACATAATTACTCCAGGGGTGTTAAAAGGAAAAGTTATAGCGCTTGGAGATTGGCCACCCTTTAAAAAGACATGTAATGTTGCAGTAGTGAATGATACAGAGTAGCCTATTAAAGGACTGGGGTTATAAACTCAAGTAGCAGCAGTAAGTCTGCTGGAACACAGTCAAAATAACACACTGCTATTTAATTCTAATCAGCCACTTTCTCTATCCACAGTTAACTCTGACTGCGTCTTTGCTAACTGAGCTGGATTTATCCCTCTGGCTTTAGATGTGCAATGGATCCAATCCTCACTTTGGAAGATAATGCGTGTGTGTGTGACAGTGTTGTGTGTGTGTGTGACAGAGAGCAGGCCTATATCTGGCAGATTCTCTGCAGCTCCTAACAGTCAAACACTGTGATCTGGCAGGCAGAGCTGGCAGAGCTGGCACCTGTCCCTCTCTGGCTGAGAACGTGTGGTTTGTGAATGACCTGGAGCTGGCTGAGACACGCTGAATCACTTACACCATGTTTCTGTGGGTTTGCACGCATGAGTTTGCACATCTGGATGCTCGCGTATCTGCAAATGTTTACATTGTGTACTGTGCTCCTGTGCTGCGCATGCAGTGTGTGTGTGGGGAATGTTTACGCTTGTGTATGTGCCAGCAAAAGCCTAAACTCATATTTAATCTGTGATCTATTTATATCGCAGAGTTCTATGTGATGATCACATGGCCATGTGTTAAAATGAAAATGATTTGATTGATTGTGAAATGCAGAACTGTAGTGTGTGTTCTCAGCACAACTGAGAGTCCTTGATAAAAAGTTTTCTTCTACAACATTCACAGAAAGCTGGCAAAACAGTGCAAATAAAATTTGTTTCAGTTCATGCATGGATAATCACCGCATCAGTAGAATAAACCCAACAGCTGCTACGGCTACATTGCAACACAATGCATCTGGAGCACAATGATGCATCAGTAATGGCCTCTTTTTTAGAAACTACCAACAAAAAGCAACACATTCAGTGGATTAAATGTGACCTTGGCCAAAATGTACAGTACCTGTGCTCCTGCGCAGTGTATTTGAGAAGCTCAGCCAACTGGAGTGGATATTTGCAGATTTTCTGGACAGGGGTGAGCAAGAAGCCGTCTATGGCAATGTCAATCATTTGCTGGAGGAGGCGACAGGCCTCGAAGAAGTGCTGGTACCTGCCATCCCTCATCAGTTTGCTCAGCTCCATGCAGGCATCCAAATGGTTATTACAGTATTCTGAATAGATCCAAAAACCATCTTGCTGTAGATTAAAGGAGCAGAAAGACACACGATGAGAGAGGGAAATATGTAATGAATCTTCTTTTCAATAAAACATGCCGGAGACTGAAGAGAAGAGTGCCAATGTGTACAGACAAAAGCAACTGTGGTTACTAAAATTTTTATTAGAGCTGTTTTCTCAAGATCATGACTTAATTATCTCATTATCCCGAGATAAACTGTTTGCTGGTGACTTAATTATCTTCACAACTTCACTGTTATCTCAAGATAACGAGATAATTTGAGATAACAGGCCTAACAAAATTATTAGCAATTATGGCTGCTCTTAGCTGGACAGTGTGGATACGTTTATTCAAACACATTTTAAAGCATTATCAAAGTGTGTTAAAAAGGGAAAAAAAAAACACTATTTGAACTCACGTGTTCTAAAAAGCATGGTCCAATTTCAGAGAGGTGGGGTTCCTCTGTGTTGTACTGTTTCTCCAAGTCTCTAACAAAGCCCATCTGGAAGCGGTAGATGTCCTCGATGTTCCCAAAGATGACCTTCAGCTGGTCATCATTGAACATGTCCACACGCTTCCTACACTGGCGCAGGTAGCCCTGCAACGAAATGGGTTACAACTGCTGTGAGGCTTTCAAAGACAGTCCTGAATTGTGACATGGCTGCGAGGCTCAGTCAGAGAACTGCTGTGGAAAAGTACAATGTAGGCCACAGTGTGTTTCATCTCACCGCTATTTTTGTTAATTCTTTGTAATAAACATGTGAAGCCACTCCTTTGATATAATTCATTTGAATCAAAATGAACTCTGACTCTAAAGGTTCTGTAGAGTCAAAAACAATTTTGTGTAGGTTGAACTGTGGCCTCAATTTGTCAGTCCAATTCTTGTGGTTAATTAAATGCCCTGAAGCTTCGGCACTTTGGGAAAAGATTTGCTGTAAGAGGTAGGTTTTTGCTATTTCACACTCCACCACCCAGAATTTTCTCTGTTTATGAAATACACATGCTAAACCTTTTTGTTTTTTGCTCCTAAAGTCCAGTTCGATGCAAATAATCAAAATTAAAGCTCTGTTTTAAATGTAAGAAAAGTCTTACGTATCTTTCCAAGGTAAGCGATGGTGCAAGATTAAATAAATCATATATACACATGTATATATTAAGATTCTTCTGCTATGGTAGCCATTGCAGTCATGGATAGGGCTGCACTAACTTTTACTTTCAGTTTTGATTGTTTTCTCGATTAACTCATTAGTTGTTTGGTCTATATAATGTCAGAAAATGGTGAAAAATGTTGATCAGTGTTTCCCAGAGGCCGAGATGATGTCCTTAAATGTCTTGTTTTGTCCACAACCCGGAGATATTCAGTTAACTGTCATAGAAGAGTAAAGAAACAAGAAAATATTCACATCTAAGAAGCTGAAATCAGAGAATTTTGACTCTTTTTACTTTACTCATACCTGTTAATTTATTGCCAAATTAGTTGGTGATTAATTCAATAGTTGACAACTAATCAATTAATTGATTTATCCGTGCAGCTGTGGTCGTGGAGCGTTCCATTAAGAACCAGAAAACTGTCAACAGCCCAGTGGCGTTGTGACTTAATGTGCACAGGCACTCACAGCATCTTTTTACTCTAATTAGCTATCTTAAATTCTTAAACCCTTCACTTTAACAAAAATAAAAATACAAATTTTGAAAATAGTTTTCACCTTGTCTGTTTCAAGCACATCAAACTCCTCTACTACCCCTTCTTGCCTGTGCTTGTTTATAGCAAGTTGAAAAAATACTGGGTCCTCCCACAGGCAAGAACTGTGGAGGTGAGAAGGTGAAATTTACGCTTTATTGCAACTATTTTTAAACATTACGCCTCACCAGCAATGCAGACAAATATGGTATGGTACATACAGCGGATTAAGGAAAGATGATGAGATAAGCAAAAATTTGCACTAGAAAATCCTGCCCACCCAAAGTCATGATGCAGGTGTTTTGTTCTGTGTTCCAATACGACCTCTATGAAACTAGCACAGATGCAACGGCTGTGCTGGTGATAAACAACATTTTAGAAATAACTGCTTCACATGAAAAATAAAATTACGCAATCTTACTTTCACTAGCTTGCATTTCTGTCAGTCATCTCTGTATTTTTTACAGTATCAGCAAGAAGACCGACCAATGGCAAAAGACTACTGTACATAACAGTGTGTCATGTTGTTACTGCTACAACAAACAGAAAGGTGTGTAACAGTCACTGATTATAACTATGGTCTGCCTGTTTTCAATCACAAAACATCTGAAAATGTAACTGCCAGATCATCAGTTCATATTAACATAATACAGTTCAATAATCTTCTATTCCCATAGACGTTTGTTTCTATTGAACCAATGATGAGGCACAGGGACAGAGTCATTATGAGCTATTGTCACACTCACAAAGATAAAACCGCTCCATGTTAGACACAATTATTTACTGAGTACATACTGTAGCTGTACTGTACATGCATACATGTATTAGGTTACACAGTGGCCAAGCTAGATTAGGCACGTTAGTAATATGTCTAATACAGGGAACGCATATCAATGGGGAAGATATTTCAACACAACACCTGCAAAAAACCCCTGAATCCTTTAATGCAGAACGGCATTGTCAGTAAGAGCAGAGTTAGCATTAGCACAGTGAAAGTTTTGACAGGAAACTTGGTAGAGTGTGCAGTTTTTGGATGTAAACCCTGGAGCTTCCTTCCACTATTTATAAAACACACCATTGTAGCAGATAATGTATATTTGACAACCATTAATGCTGTGTCAGCCACTGCCACTTAGCCTACAAGCTAACAAACAACATAAACGAATAGAGAATGCTAACTACACTAAGCATGTATGGTTGAATCTTTCCAATGTTTCCTCTAACACTAATACTAGCAATCTTGATGCACACAACTCTTTCACTGGTCAACCTAGCACAAGCAGCAAGCGCAAAGTGAAAGATAAACCTACTGCTAGCAACAGTGGTCCAGATCCAGACTTTCTCAAATGCAAGTGAAAAGAGAAAGAATAGATCTGCTTCCAGACCCTTTTCAGAGTTTTTTTTTTAAATTTAAGGTCAACGTGTTCTCATCAAAATCCGTCAAATATTGCCACTTGGCCGGCAGACTTTCATGTCAAGGTGCTAGGTATGCTAGATATTCTCCTGTGTCTGTTGTTTATGCTCTTGGACACCATGTCAGTTTATGTTTGTTACATGCATTGTGTCAAAATACACTTCATTTTCACAGGTAATGTACAGTTTCTACTCATTAGATGCATAGTCTAACGTTGGTAAAACACCTTGTTTTTATCTTTAATTCCCTGTGCAAAAAAAGCATGTGGTTAGGTTTAGAAAAAACAAACAAACATGGGACACAGGAAGCAAATGGCAGCCTCCTGGGTGAAAGTGGGTGCAAATGACCCACCCACCTTCACTCCTGCCCACCAAATCAGGACTATCCTGCTCCTTACATTATATTGCTACATGCAGCATTATCAACTGATGCACCTGTTACAGTAGTATGAAATCACTGACGAGCAGCCATATTCGACAGGTTGGGAATGAGAACGGGCTGATTTAGCCGGATCTAACAGTAAGGGTTGCGACCAACTGAAACTTTTCCTGTGTGCCAAGCATGAAGGAGAACTAAAGTGGCTGAAGCAAGAGTCCAAAACACAAATGGCCATATCAAGAGCCAGTGTTTAGTAGTCCATTCTGGGCTACTGAGATCAACATGGTGGACTCCATGGAAGAGGACCCACTACCTATGCAGATATAAACAGCTCACTCTAAGGTACAGAAAAACACAATGATTCTTAGTTTCAGGTGATTACACACCAATGAAAACATAATTATGAAAATTATAGTCTATTTCTGCCAGTGTGTGTCCCTCCCTAAACCCTACACACTGGAACTATTGAGTGGGAAAAATAGTACGTATTTTAAAATGTGTCTGGAGGTGGACTTTAAATGTCTGGCTATAAATATTGCATGCCTATTTTAGATTCAGATTGGACATGTCATGTTTTGAGATTTTATTACTGCCATGCTAAAAATGTAAAAAAATGGCAAGGCTCTTGTTTAATTTTATTAGGTGTGAATTCTAGCCTGTCACTTCAGCATGAATCATAATATAATGACAAATTTAAGATGGACTAGATCCCTCCAAGTGTGGCTGCTGCCACCACCACTGTGTACAATTGACAAATTGTGTCTTAATATCTAAAAAAAAAGAACTATTTTCGGACTGTTTTGAAAACAACAGAAAAAATATGGCTTTAATACAAGTGTGAATGTGGGAGTGTTAAGAATTTATACTAGACCCTTGTGTAGCATCAAACGGGCTGCTTCTTCTCTAATACATGCTTCAGTTAATTCAGCTCCTTTTCATTTACCTTTCCTATTGTGTATGTGTGTGTCTTTGGTATTAAAGCAGCGTGTATGTATGTGTGTGTGTATGGATGTTTGCATGTGTTTAGTACCTCACAGATGTCCTTGAGGTGTTTGATGTAGTGTCTCTCTGTGCTCATGATCTCATTGATGACGTTGGCTCTCATCTGGTCTCGGTTTTGGAGGGGCGAGCCCAGACACAGGCAGTCATTGGTTGGGTCCAGGTGCCCGTTCTGCACCTCGCTGGTCCCCTCAGCTGGCTCCGCTCCCCCGTCCTCCTGGTTCACCCACAGCTGAGTGCAAACACATTCACACACAAACACAGCCACACACACACACACACACACATGCAGTTGAATAAGACATGTGCTCAGTTAAGTGTTAAGTGAATAATCTGATGAAAAGAGTGTTAGTAAACAGATACATTTAGGTATTCATATTACAAAATCTTTGTCATATAAGTGGCACTACTCCCTCCTCATGAGCATGAATGCACACAGCACACACACACGCGCCACACACATGAACACACACCTCACACACACAGAGCTTCATTTACAGGGTCTCTGGTAGTTTGGCCAGTGAGTAAAACTGTTGGTCCAGCATTTCAGAAAGGTGAGGAACAAACTGCCAAACACTCCAGAGTTTAAAATAAGCCTCTTTCTTAGACTGGTGCCCAGAAGATATTTAATGCCCAACTTCGGCCCTGTGTGTGACTCAAAAAACAAAAACTTCCCCTCTGCACATATGCATGCATGAACACTCACACACAACCTCACAACTTCCTCACCCATGCACTCACCAACACTCACAGAACCACATAAATAGTGTATTCCACTCTTGCTCATAGAAAGGGCCAAGTGTGCGTGGTTTCAGATGTCCAGCAGCCAACACCTGATGACACACAGTTTGCCAGGAGAACATCAAAGAACCGACGGGTAGAATGCCAAACACAAGATGAGAAATGCAGCGCCACAGACAAGCAGAGTGACGGGTGGTAGAACACTGACTGCAGACGAGAACTAGTAGCGCAGCATTAAGACTGAGAAATAGTCAGAGTCAATAGTAAATGGAGTACTGAAAAAATAATCAATATTTAAAATAGAAATGTCCATGAATGTTAACAGGAATAATGATTCCATAATCCATCTAATTCTATGTGAATACAGTTGTAGAATTTGAGTGCAGGCCGTTAAGAAGACATTTAACATTACTTTACTTTTGACTCATCAGTTCTGCCTCTCTATCGACCCCGTTGAGAATGGTGTGAAAAACGTCATGGGAACGTTAATGTTTGGTAATGTCGAGGGTACGTTGCGTGGACAGACTGGAGCGGGCGGGTGGGCGGGCAGGCTGGATGGGTAGATGAAGCTGGGAAAACGCACCTTTGACGTGGTGTTTTGGAACCGTGGAGTTGCTATGGGGTTGATATAGAAAACCTGTTTTGTTTGGGGCTGAGGAGGGTGGGGTTCCACCTTGGAGAGAGAGAATGACAGAACAGAAAGATACTTTTTGGTTGACAGTCAGTCAGCCTGTCTGCCCTGCCCTCTCAGGAGTGAATATGGAAGGGTGGACAGGTGGGAATGGCCATGAGGAGTGTCTGGGAAAGGGGGGTGTGTGCTCTGCTGTGGGAGGCCTCCACCTACAACCAGGATGCTAATTCTTCCTTTAATAAGTTTACTAAAACAAAAAAAGTATGGGATATCATGCAGTAGCTGCATCAGACCTTTGTGTCGGGTTAAGCTGAACTCAAATATTGGTGAGATTATATAATCACCATGTAAAGTGAGGACGCTGTAAATTTAAGTGGATTTCAAGGGTAGGAGTTGAAGTTGATGCCAAACTAAAAAAGGGGCTCATCAGCATCTTTGTTTTATTGTCCCTGAACACACGATAAAGGCACTTAGCTAGCTATTCTCTGATCTCTTGAGTGTTATGTGTTATCCAAATAAAGCATTATTCAACAGCGTGTCTGTGTGTGGAGCAGGCATATAAATGTGTGTGTTTCGTGCATGCGTACCTTCCTCTTTGTATTTATTAGCTTGTGTGCATATGTTCATGTGCCTCCATTGCTGTATGTGTGTGGGAGTGTGTTGTGTCTATGGTCGCTGGCCAGCCATGGCTGCAGCTAACTCACCCGTACAAAGCTGGCAGGGAACCATCCTTCCTCCTCATCAATCTGGCCCCACCACCAGTCCTTGTTGGAGGCGTCCAGCACCTTGATGACGTCACCAGCCTTAAACGCCAACTCCCGGTCCGCCATGGTCACATGGTCCCATACCGCCTCAGCGTTGACGATTGAACCTCCACTTATCAACTGGAGAAATCGAAGGGAAAGACAAGCAATATCTTATGCTTTGTTCTCATAACGTGGAGCCACTGCTGTGGAAACACCACTATGAAGAGCACTGCAGACACTGACCAATAAACATGGATCCATGTGACCTAAAACAGCATATAAATCAAATTTAAAAGTGATTGTAATTCAGTACTCAGCCTCATTTTGGCCTCGATTTGTGTGAATCCTTGTTGTTAAACCCACTCAGATTACTAATGGATGCAAATACACACCCTCAAAGCCAGGGCCTACTGGCAGCTTAGGGATTGCAAATAGAACAACACAATAGCCGACACAGACCACAGTACAACACAACAAAATGCGACAACACAAAAAAAAAGGCAGAGCCATTAGTGGAGAAACAACACAGTGTTCAGAAGCACAGCACCAGTCTCCACACAGGGATGGTAATTGGCCCATTATGACATTAGAATAATTACATGTGTTAATGTAATATAAATGCTGAGGAGCAAACAAATGTGAAGGGATAATCTCCCTTCCTTCATGCTGTCACCGGGGCTTGTTATTTTATCAGCAGCAGTCTTTGACGAAACATGGAAGGATGACTCATCAAATCTTTTCTATTGATTTTAGCATCATGAATAAATAATGTGGACATTATGCGACACTGAAAATAAATGTTTAAACTGTACAACTGGTGTGCATGTACATGAGCAGAGTATTGTTTTGTGGACGTGCATTGTGGTGTGGTGTGTACGGACGTGAGAGCCTGTCAGGTGATCAGTATTCTTTAGGGGGTTTTGCAGAGGCTAAAGGTTGTTCTCATTAAAGGACAAGAGACAGCAGACAATGTTCCTGAGAAGGACCTGGGTCTGACATCATTCATCTACCAAACAGCCTCACCATCCATCACACTGAGGACTCAGCTTTGTTGCCTTGAGATGAGCACAAACACACACTTGCACGTGCAGCTGCACTTTTTAACTTCACAAGCATTAAACCCCTGCATGCATCTGTGGCACAGCTCCAACTGTTTGTTCCAATTGTTCTCTCCAAAGTAGTGTTCATCAGCATTCTCCAGTCCAGAGCTAACCATGCATCCAGTCCCTGGGGCTGTGGGCAGAGCAGCCAGCGCTAACCAAGCCTGACAGGAGCTGCTTAGGCTCTAGGTAAGGAGTTATCAAAGGCCTGGAGACAGGAATGTCACATGGATGGACACTAAATTAGTTCTTTACTTGTATTAAGGCTTCTGCATATTAATATTGAGCTACTGTTACTTTCTAAGTGGAGCTTTTTCCTTCAATCCTTTAAAATTGCTCTGCCTCTTATAAAATGAAATCCCCAGATAGGAAAACCTTTTAAAATGCACCACATCACTCCAGCAAAAATATGCTATTCCACCTATATGCTGATGCAGTGTGTTCGTAAGACGGTCCATGAGAAGCAGCAGATTGTGTATACGTGTGTTTGTTTGTATTCATCCGAACCCCCGTGAGGATCTAAGCTCTCAGACTCAGCAGCTACGTTGCCCCTTCAACCTGTGGACAATCCTACTTCCCTGATGGTTTACTGAGACAGCTACAGGGGATATAAGCCAATCAGGGCCGAGGAGTGAACATAGGGAGGGACGGCCATGCCTGTAAGAGAGAGAACGGCCGTCGTCATGGCGACAGATGAGGATGCTTCACTGATATTGACAAGATGATGGGATGAGGCAAGGACACTTCAGGATGCACCAGAATATTTCCAAATTTAGGTGTGTGTGTGTGTGTGTGTGTGTGTGTGTGTGTGTGTGTGTGTCTATGGGAGCTGACACACAAAGAGTGACCACTGAATAGCTGCACTCTGTCATTAAATATTAAAGTGACAAACCAATCAAATTAGAGAATCCAGTAATATGACAGTTTTCACGCTGATGTGAAATGCAAAAGTACACAGTGTAGGCCTCTGCCTGCAGGTTTAAGATCAAAGATGTCACTGAGAAGGTTGATTGAATCAGCCCACATGAGGCTGGGAGCTGGGGTAACAATAGATCTAGTCTATATCTCAAAGCTCTCCACTACAGGAAGAGAGGAGGATTACCGCAAAAACATGTGTCACGCTGCCATGGAAACAGCACCAATGAACTCAAAAAGATTTCAAAAATCACATTGTTGATTCAGGAAAAGGGATTTGATTTAAATCGTTCATTGCACTTCTGGATAGTTTAAAAAACAAAACAAAACACAAGAGTAGTTCAGCTCAACGTGACCACCAACATCTGACGTTAGGACCTCAGCCTGAAACAGCACACATAGAACAGATGAGCCTTGGCACTGAGGTCAGTCTTGCTTCCTGCTCCCTTACTGTAATGTCTACTCTCCCTAATCCACTGCCCCCCCCCCCAACACCCCTTCAGGACCACTCCATTTTCAGCCCCATTCACTCCAAGCACAATCTCTCCAGTCCCCATCAATCTGCTGTAATATAGCCAACAGACGGAAAGGAGAGAGAGGGGGAGAGATAGAGATAGAGATCCATTCACAGCCAATGTTCCTCCCTTCTCAGTCCTCTCCTTCCCCTCATCCCTCCATCTCCCTAATGAGATCAGCACTGCCCTCTCCAATACATTGCATCCTTTTTTCCCTCTACATGTCTGAATAAATTAAAAAGCATTACATAATCAATCTTCCCAATTCCTGCCTTGGCACAACCTCACACCTAGCTTGATCAAATGGCATAAAGTAAACACATAAACACACAAACACAGAGAAGTCTTGCCACAATACTCATCATTACCTGTGTGTCTACCAGCTGGAATGACCTATGTCATCATTATGGTTACACTGCAGTTACAACATCAAAGATCAGAGGGCGAAGCAGCCGTCTTTAAACCGCAAAACCTGTATTTGGGTCAATGCAAATGAAAGCAGAGGAATCTATCCTTATACATGGACATTTATGACAATGCTTCATGTTTCATGCTCAAGCACAGACATGGAGACTGACAGGGAAACATGTGCGAACAGAAAGCCGATTCCCTCGCTTATATCATCTTTGCAGCACAACACATCAGCATTCACTGCACTGGCAGCTCCACTGCATTCCAACATCCTCCTCTATTTCTAGCCATAGCACATCTGCACCAAAGCACCTACAGCATCCCTGAGCACACACACACTCACACACATACACGCCTTTAGCCAGCCTTACCATGTTTGTGGCATGAAACTGTTCAGAGAGTGTATGCATGGAGAAGTCCGGTTCATACAATCATGATAATTAAATCTCTTTTGGAAGTGGTCGAGGCGATGGTCCTCCGCAAGAGCTGAGCCTGCGATGTCGAGTAACAAGGTGCTGTATTCCAGAAAGAAGCTTCTCTTTCCGACGCACTGAGTGAGTCTCGCGGTCCGTCCTCCCTGTGTCTGCCAACCCTCTTATGTAATACACTTATACCCTGAGTCTGGGAGCCAATCAAAGATGCTCTGCCTAAAACCGGTGAGAAATACACTCACATCGTCACACACACTGTTGTCTCGCTCGCACACACCATCCGCACATTGACACTTCTGACTGCACAGCATTTAACAGTGCTCTATTAAAAGGCACCTGCCCTGGAGGGATTACAAATGTGTGAACACTTGGGACGTGTGCACGACTCAGATTCAAAGAGGAACTACAGATAACACCCACCCAGACTAGCTCACACACTCACACGCTCACATATGTGCAACTTAGCATGCTCACGTGCTTACATGTGAACACACATCTGTAAGTAGGACTGGGTTAACACTAGCTAGCCACCTGAGCCATGATAACCACTGCAGTATGCACTATTAGGATGCTATGTTTACAGTCCTGTGGGGGTCCCCTCTAGGAAGGATGTTTATGCGTTGTACCACAGTGATGAAAACACCAGCCCACATGCCACGGCATGTGATGGAGGTATCTGTGTTCATAATACATAGCTACCAAACACTCCTTTCTACACTTACAGTACAACATTTACCACTTAACTAGAGACACACAAAAAACACATGGCACTTAGCCTTGAGTGTGAGAGAGAGCATATACAGTATCTTCAAAAAAAAAAAAAAAAAACCTAGCCTGCCTGCCATCCCTATTTATAGGACTGTCATGGACGGCTGTGGGATAGGCTTTTAGCATATCTATTTCTGACATTCATTCAACATTCATGACACCTGCCTCCTATCCTTTATTAGATTATGCCACTGCATGTGGGGTAAAAGGAAATGGGCAGTTTTTATCTCCATCTGACATGCCTTTTCACTTGGAGGACATTTCATCTGTAAGAAATACGCACATATACTGATGCATATTTTATTAGCCACTATTTAGTGACCAGGTGTAATAATGTGTAGGCTTCGGAAACAGGTGCCACACTGAAATGTTGCAAACTGGAGAAATGTGAATACTGTGGGCTATGAAATGGGAGCTGAGTTTAGCTGCATCTAAAATGGGGGAAACCTGGAGTGACGAGGCCCTCCTTTATTAGGCCTAGCCCTGCCTGCTATTGGTTACTGTTCAGCTGAGATTACAATGATCCTCTAGAGTCTACGATCAGCAGCACAAACCTCTCACTTGCACCGCTATTTGCTACGAATATCACATTTACTTCAGTGGAGGAGATCACTCACTGCCTCAGCTATCAGCTGCCATATTGTGGATGTGGCTACAGTGGATCACAATAGCAAAACAAGTCCTGACGCAGCAGTAGGCTGTTGTTAAAAAAAATACCATCAGATTAATTTTTCATCTTAAAAGGGAATTATTATAGAATAAAATTAATCCATGCGCATAATCCACAAAATACAACATGGAGGAGAGAGGGAGAGCGACGTAGGGGGGGGACATGTTTATATGCGGTGGATATGAATTTCCAGTCACCACAGAAAGGGTAAGAGCATCACAGATCTGTATCCGCACAACTACGATCACCACCAGACAACACTAGCTATCACAAACGGTGAGAGGACACAAGACATAACGAAGGATTGGGGAGGGGGGTAACAGAAATA